AAACTCCTACGGCCACGGGAGCTCCTTCCTTCGTACAGGCAGCGACACCAAATGTAGTGAAGGAGAACACACGTGAGGGAAACCGAATTGTATTTAGCGAAAATTACAGAGTTACTCAGTAAAATAGGAAAACCATATCGTAAACGGTTAATTTGCAAGTCTTCAATCCATCATCAGTCTATTGTCTGACCTTTCAATATTCATGCGTTTCATACAAATTACATTGTGTTCCCACTCTTCCTTTCTTGATCTTCCCCCATCTTCTTCTGGCAGACATTACGTTTACACTCGCGTCAAAAACTGCTTATATAGTGCGCACCACAATATATGCAAGAATATCTCTCTGTGTACTTAGAATCAACATACTAAGGATCATCATGTGGAAGTTGTTTGAATCCCGTTAAATTTGATAGCGTAACAGTTTTCATTTTATGATTGTCACGAATTACATTTGTAACTGCTAGTGTACTGAAGCAAGTATAGTTTCATTGTATTAGTTTATTTTGGACCAATTTCACCTCAAGAGATAGGATTTTCCTATCCTATCATCTAGTCTTCTAAATACTTAAATATTGACGTATATCAGAATCCGTCGCTTGTCAGTCAAAAGAACTGGTTAGACGCAGTTCGCTGCAAATTCGTTATATTCCATGTTGTAAGTAGTGTCGATCGCATTCGTTGTGATCGTTTTAATAATCATGCTAATAGTAGCTTATCTGCCTGCAGTAAGTTTACAGAATTTCAACGTTTATACAACTGGTAGGTGATAAGCATGTCAACTCCAAACACCAGTAATAAGATCAAACTAACCTAAAAATGTTTGATTCTTCTTCTCAACCCTAATTCATTTTATTTTGAGGACCTTTCTCCACCGTGATCATAAGAATTTCTGTTTAAATGAGCTAAATGATTCTTTGTCGGTACTGCAAAAATGGCGATTGAAATTCATTGTTCAATTTCTTTTTCATTGTTGACTTAGTATTCTATTGTTTATTATCTTATTTGTTTTTAATTTGAAATTCTGCCTGTTCTATTTTTCATTTTGTTGTTTGTGATTTACAAATATTTGGAATTTTCTTTAAAAAAGTAATTCTTCAGTTTATTTGACTAAAATTTTTATATTTGGTATCTTTTTTCTAATAAAATGACACCGTATGCTTAAAATACTAAATTCTTGTGTTAATTAATGGTATTCCATTTTTCAATTGAAATCTGTTTTTGGCATCATCTACATCCGTTTCAGTATGTACGTTTGCGTATATCACCTTCGATAATTACATAGGGTAGATATCTCGTCCAGTCGCTGATAAGAGCAATTCTTACGTGTCATTTTTCCTAACAATATTTAGTTGACTGCACTGTGAGTAGTAGAATATATAAAATCACCTACGTCAATAAAAATGAAACATCTATGCTGAAAAAGGCTCAAATGATTGAAAGCTTTTGACTGTACCACTTATCAGTATGCATTTAAAAACTAAAATTCTACAAGTTTCTGCCATGATGAATCATCATTGTGCTAGGCCTCCGTGACCATTCACACCTCATTCAGGCTGTCAATTCGTTTTTAACACCAATCTTATTACTTAGTTGGCATAAAACATTCGAAATGGACAAAGATTCGTTAGGTTATCGACTACGTGCATCCAGACGGTTAGCTTCGGCATTTGTCAATAAATAGATATAAAAGCAAGTAAAATTCTACGTATTGTAGATATACTCCGGAGACAAGCACTAGACTGAATTCTTAAATTTGAAATGGAAAATTAAAAGATCACTAACTAACAACAACACCAAGAAGTCGATGAAAAATGGTCAGTGTAAGAGATAAGTTATTCATAACCATTTTTCGATATGCTTAGAATCTAAATCTTTTTATCAAAATGACCAAAAGATGAGAAAAAACAAACTTTTCTTTGATTATTTAGTTCTTGTTAATATGTATCGGAATTTAAACTTTTGGAGAAGCTTGTTCGACTTTTAAAAGATGGAGTTGTTTAACAAATACGTTCTTGAATAACCTATAAAATGATTGAACATGAGATCTAAGAAAGTCAACGTATATTTGTGTTTTGATCAAACTTAACTGATATCGACTATATTATTTACATCGCAAAATCTTCAAATATTTCAAAAACGGTTAACAACATTCACTTGATGTCGACTAAAAGAGAAAGATAGGCATTTAACTAAATAGTGTATGAAATGTTTCATGAAAATTGACCGAAAAATTTGGCTCATCCGATTTATCACTTAGACCAGCGATTACTTGATCGATAAATTTCAGTGGTGAAACGTAAGACACAATATATGTGTAATACCCTTATTCAGAGTTAAATTGTATTTAGTGATGAAGTCAACAATCAGAATCTCATTTTACCTATGATTCACTGGCTGAATGCAACTTTATCAAAACAGCCCAATGACTATACATTAAATGCAATTTCGAGTATCAAAAAGAAGGAATTTCTCAACTCTCACTTACTTTTATACAGATGTTAGATCCTGCGAACAAGTCAGCCGTGATCTTACGTCCATGAGTGTTTAAATAACACGATAGTGTTTGACTGTATGTTTTAGATTTTATACGAGCGTTTTAATAATAGTACATACGTGACAATAGTACAAAATAACTCTCATTATTTATCTTCTTTTCCAATGTAAGTCGAAATAATTTTTAGGGCTTGCGAAAAATGCATACGAAACTAATAACAAACATTTGTTTCTGTATCAACTCGTGGATTTGCATATAAACCTAATATCTACGCTAAATACATTTTGTCTTCTGGATATTGTGATTTTACAAATTGTTTAAATTTTGCCATGTCATCTGATAAATAACCTCAGACACGTTAATCCAATGAAATTGGCGATTCGAGAATCACCTCACCTATCCATTGTAAATCCTAGAGCCATGGAACTTACTGTTGTGGTTTCTACCGTTCTTCAAACACTTAGTTTATTATCTAAACTCGCTTAAAATTCTAATGGACGATTTATCGTGGACGTCGAATCTGTAGTAATTCAGTAACAAGCGATAGACAAACATCTTGTTTATGACCGTGGATTAAATTATTTGAATGAGTTTTTATTAATACGTGACAGATTTAAGAAGTATACCATTGTATTCTTATGATAGGTGTACAATTTCTGTATTTCTGGAAAGAGAACGATTTGTACAGAGTCTTAATCGTATATGTTTCTGAATGCATGAAAAGTAAATACGTCAACTAGTTTCAGATGTTGCATGAGTGAATCTTTTTGAACGTACTAATATGAGTTTCTAATAACTGAAAGTGAACTGACTGTGCTTATGATCAATCATCGATTCTTGTGATTTATTTCGGACACATAACTTCTGAATATCGTTACTAAAAGTAAATGTGTTGAATGAATATACTAAACGTGAAATAACTTCGATGGTAATCTCATTAGAACTGATGTAATTTGTCGTTAATTGTCTTATTTGCTATATTCCGTAGATCGAACTGGTGAAAAGATCTTTTTTAAAAATTATTTTTCTGTTTCCTCTAAATTATCCGAAATGAATGAACATAATTGACTATTCATTCAAATGGGCGTTAGAATATTGCAAAGGGTCATAAAGTATATTGAACACGTTTCACATCAATAACAGAATTTCCATTCCCCTTTCATTGATAAGAAATACACCCTATAATGATAGTCGCCACTTTGTTCATGACCTCATTGTTGTGTACCACATAGTTCAAAATGGTGGTATATGGAGATGGGTAAACTAATTATATCAATTTTTCTTCTGATAATATTTTCAGATGTATAAATCCCTCACTAAACGGTAACTGCTCACGTCATTATACTTTTCCATTGAACATGTTACAAATAAATATTTATTCAGTATTGGAAACCATTTCAATCGAACTTTCAGCCGGACCGATGATGATACATAGTGATATATTTATTAAAGTAAATGAAACTAAGCAGCATCAGAGATGTTTTCGTCCTAACTTTAACAAAACATAACAAGATGCATTTTCAAATGCATTTGAACTATCGATAGAGAGTAAGTTAGTTGAGCTTGTCAACCACTTCACCTATCTACAGATTTTCGTCAGTTCTGATGACCTGTTGCCTGAAGAAATCCTGTCACGCATACATAAGGCTCGACTGGTTTTTATCGAATAGCATCATTTATGTGGTGGGCCGAATATTCGTTCACTAATCAAGGTATGCTTTTGCTGCACAGAAGTTACCTGAGTCCTATTTCATAGGTAAGAAACATGTCCAATAATAGTGGAGGATATTGTTTGGTTCATAGCATTCGACACCGAGTTTTTTTCAAGGAATCATTTATGAGCTGTGTAGCCATAAGGTAAGCAACTTCGGGGTTAGGACAACCAGATTACGAAAGTATGCTTAGTCGATGGATGACGTAGCAAAATTAATGGTTCACGTCAATATGACGTATTTCTAACCACTGACTACCTAGATGAGCGATGTTGTCTGATGTACGAATAGGCCACAAAAACAAATCAAATTCATAAAGCTGTTGATAAACGAACCGAGTGATATGAACAGATTGTTACTGTCTGGTTCAAGCAATCGTTACAGTCGTGATTGGTAGTTACAGAAAATTAAATCCATCTCATCGGCACAATTACTATCACCCTAAAAATCAGTAAGTTCAACCGTTCATAACCATTTAAGTAACTTCATTCGAACGCCTCCATTAACTACAAAATGACCAGTTGTAGTAGAAGTAGTAGTAGTAGTAGTAGAAGTAATTGTTAATATTATCACATTTGAAAATATAAACAAACTTATAACACATAAAAGTGAATTAGTGGTTATACACAAACATACTCATATTTGTTATAATTCATAAAATATATATATATATGTACTTGTAATCGTATGTGCGTGTGTGCATGCATTTTAATTGTTATCGTCAACGAAAATGTCATTGAATTTTTATACTAAACACAAACACATGAATATCCGATTACATAATCTAATATAATTCAATCTAGACGTTCAAAATTGAATATATTTGTATTGACCGATGAATTTTGAGGAATGGATGGATTACTGAAATGCGAAGAAAAAGGAACTTTGTTTTAAAATTAAATGTTTTTCAAAAATAACAAATATTTCACATAAATGGGAACGACTGATTTCACAGTGTGGTTTGGTGGCAAGTGTCTATAAGATGATAAGCAGGGAAATTAAAGTTACACCCCACAGCATCATAAATCATTTCATTGGAATTAACGAAATTATTGCTGAATACGCAGACATACATTATGTTTAGTTTTAAATGAGTTACTCAACAATAATGTGGAAGTCAGATGGAATTCATCTTATGTGAATACCTATAAAATATCCATGCCATCGATTCTTTAGGCACACAGAGTTAGTGGCTTATAATGGATTCAAAACATACGACAATCATTCGTGAGCTTTTGTTATGAAGGTATGTCCATGTACAGAATAGTCTTCAACAGGGTGAAACAGGTGAAATCGATTTCAAAGCTTGCCACCATTCATCTATACTTATAATGCCTTTGATAAGATGATATCGTTAAGCAAATGTGCACACTATTCTCCTATTGTATATTTTTATAGACATGTTGATGACTAAAATTAATATTTTCAGAAAGATAACAGTGTAATTTGGATTAAAATCAAGTTGATATATACATCTAATAAATTCATCATTGAACAACATATAAACGATAAAAGTTCGTACTTATATATATGTTATCCGTCAAATTTTATGAAATGCTCCAATTTTGTTCTAAACAATTGCTAAACACATTGGTGTTTTCTGAGAAAGAGCAAAAGTTATGTTTGAAAATTGTCATTCGGATGAAAATAATATAACTCAGTATTTTATGTGACTTACATTGTGGTAGTTTGCGGTATTAATTGTGATGCATTGGTTAACTTATTAAATGTAGTTGCAGATTTAGGAATTTGCATATTTGTCGATAGAGTTTGTCTGAAATAAAAGACAAAAATCTATTGAAGCTAGCTATCTTAAAAATTTATTGTCCATTACCCTAACGAATTTTTTCATTGTTATACAAAGATATTTATCGAGGATTCTCTATCAGTTAGTATATCCATACTTTATTCACTGATATAAATTATAGTTTGAGTGTATTCAATTTTACAAACTAGATAGTTCAGTTTGTAAAGCTTTCACTGTCATTCTGGCTAACACTTACAACCTCCAATTCATGTTAAATTATTCAATATTTCAGACTGAAGATGTAAACTGTAGCTGATTACTCTTCAAGAATCGAAAACTTCAAATCGATAAACTATCATTCTACAAGTTAGAGTAATATTCCTACAAAACTATAACTAAGAAATCCCTGGATCAATCACAGTTAGACAATAACACCGTTAAATGTCAGCTCAGTTATCCGATGGTCAGGCGTTCGCGCACAATACCGAAGGTCACAGGTTCGAATCCTGCGAGGTGCAGAAGTCGTGAATAAGCACTGCTGATGAGTCCCATGCCAGGACGAAAAGGCCGTCCAGTGCTCCCAAGTTTCTAATGGTGCTCTAACAATGATTGATTGATGATTTCAAATGTGTAAAAACACAAACTTCCAAAACTCTGCCCTATAGTATATATATATATATGTACATAAAGTGATTTTGTTAGTTGCCTAACCGACCTTAATTCAGAATAATCAAATATAAGGAAAATGTTTTATTTTCAATTAAGGACCAACTTGGTTTTGAGGTCACCTCAGCTACTACGTGTCAACGAAACAAAAATGGAACAGACATTTACTGTTACTACTATATTTATTACCATTATCACTTAACGACTGTAATTCATCCAGCGTTTGGACGTCCGAATAAACATAACACAAGAAGCCAGCTTTATACTAAGCAAGTCAGATAAAGAAGAAGGATTAGCTATTATAGGTAATAATTAAGTTCAACTCATCATTTCGTATCTTTATCAAATTTCCTAATAATTGATAACAACGACATCAAAGCAATTCACGCATTGATAATGGAAGCCTATGATTTACTCTGCAGTTCATTCGAACCTACTTAGTAGATCAAACACACAGTGCCATGTCAGTCTTAAGACAATTTTTAAATCCGTTTTACATTATTGTCTAGTTACTATTAAGTTGCTCAATAGATTTTCTTCACCTCCAAAAATATTTATAGCAAATTATGATGCAATAAAAATGTACTTGAACTCGTTACTTTTTAGTGACATTAGAAAACGGATCTGTTGGCGAGATGGTCCTTTTGTTCCAGTTTGAATATAAAGTTTATTCTAATCACAGTATATAATATTTTTTATGTCGAATGCTTCATGTTAAGCTTTTCTCACTCATTATGCTAATTATTCACTAAAAGTGTCTTTTAGGAACTGCAACTTCAGGAATATGGGATAGTTTTATCGTCCTATCCTAACTGATATTCTCCACTGTTGCACATTTGAGTAAATTTAGATATAGATCTAACTGAAAATCATGTTCCTCACGTGTCGTGTATCCCTTAAGAAGTGATTTTTTTGCCCATATTTTCGATATTTATTAAAGCATGGAATCAAAAAAGACGATCTGCTTCATAACTCTTGTCTAGTGTTTCATGAGTTAGAAAATATGTCCAATAATCCATTGAACTAAGCTGACTAGATAATCAGTGAAAACAAGAAAACTCCCGAGAATCTTAGCATTATCGTACGCAACTTCTCAAAAGTGCCCATCTACAACGTTTGAAGGGACCACATTCAGGACCAGGTGCCAAGTTTGGCATAGCTCAACTACTAAATCATTGAATAGGAATTCATTCTACTCAAGAATTCTGTACTCAGTTCTCTTCGTTTTGCTTATACCCTTTTCCTTCTCATGTCTATCTGCGTAAATAAATGTATGAAATAAATTCGTCCATGAAACAGGAACCTCAGGAGTTATATCTTGAAGCTAGCTAATCATGTGTGCATAAACGTTATGACCTTGTCTGTTTGTAGGGAGTTCATAATTCTTTCATTCAAATCAAACAGTAATATCAGCTCGAAATTGAGTAAAAATGGGAGGCATCTAATAACTATTCGTTTCTATTACAACATATGATTGGAACTGATAAGGTGTTCTGTAGTAGGACCAAAATTCTCTTCAGCGCTTTGCGAATCTCAGTTGGTCGTAAACTGAGGAAACGACATATCACAGCAAACATGAAAGTATGACTTACGGAGAGGGGACTGCAGTTGTCACTTTGGACAAACCCCGAGGCACGATTCTGTCGACTGTGTTGGAAGAAAGTGTTGTGCCTGTCAGTCCAGTTGTCCTAATAAAGAAGAAAAATTAATGAAGTCTCACAAACATTTCTCGAATGAGATTGATTACGTAAATTCTAAATGAATTCAATTAAACAGTTACGCTCTCAAAATTTATCCACATTGAATAAAACGTGTTTGCAAGGTTTTGTTAGTAATGCTTCATCTTCTTACTATAGTGAATCAATATACACACAAAAATACATATCAGGTTGCGCCTGTTTCCTTAGATGAGGCTTCTTCCGCCAACTGGCATTCTTCAAGTTTATTTATTTTTTCTGGGTGAAGTTTTTCAACAACTCAGTTTTCTACGGGATAAAAGAGCAACCGCTACACCTAAGAACTCCATTATCTGGGGTTTGGAGAGGCCATAATCACAGATGGGCTCCATTTGTAATTGAAAACTGTTTCTAACTAGCAAGCTCAATATTCATCCAGTTTACGCCTAAGATAACTGTCTAGCATCACTCACCCAAGGAGAAGGTGTTTGTATTCGCACCATCGTATTCAGAAGCAATCACTGCCTCCCTTCTAGCAGTTTGCCATGTCAAATCGATCAACACGCTTAAAATTCCTTCGTGTTATCGTATACACCGTCAAACACATAAAAAATCACTAACCCTTGCAAAGTCATCTGCATCATCTTCGCTGTCGTTTCCATCATTTACGCAATGTCATATTGACCTCTTATACGTACACCGGTTATCAGTTCATCACATCAAAAAACAACTCGATGACTTATATTATTTAAAACTAAATTAAAATGTGGTCAGAGCTCAGCTTTTACAAGCATCTCTCATTCATTACTAAATTAGACTAGACAGCCACACTTACACCGTAAAAGACAGTATGAATGAAGATGCCGGGAGTGTCATCTTCACTTGGGGCATATCATGTACACTGAGTTGAGAATTACTGTTGCGCTATTCAAACCCACTGGTCTATTAAATTGTAAATCAAATCGTCTTTATCAGTTAACTTTCGTTATATATCTCATAAAATTTCATTAATTCCGCTCATGTTCTTAACCGGTGTCATTTCTTCTTCTAGTCTCGAATCTCCAATTATCGACTTTTCGTTCTACTCGAAACATTTCTCCGAAAGTTTTGTCTTCCATCTTAAGATTTTTTTGGAATATTCAAGCTCTTAATACTTTATAAGTTTTTCAAACTTAAAAACAATTTTTCTTTTAAGGTTAACTATTATTATTCAACCAGTATATTTCAAAAAAACGTTTGTCGCATCGACAGGCGTCAAAGTGAGAAGATTAGTTTCGAGATTTAATTGTATGTTTACGTTCATAAATATACTTTAATAAACCTTGGAAGATAATCGAAAAATTTCATCATTACTACCTCAATACTTATTTTAACAAGATGATATATATATATTATAAAAGAAGAATGAATAACTTACGTTCCAAGGATCTGAGAAAGATTACCAGTCATATTATTACCCAAAGCAGAAAACGGCATACTTGCACCACGTGCAAATGGTCTATATAAAAAAAGTAAACAATACTGAAAAATTATAAGAAAGCTTCAAAAGCATTGATCAGAGGAGTTGCTGTTGTACACCAGCCATCACGAAGAAAAAACTACACTGACACGAGCAGTCGCACTGAGGCTGTCCAAACAAGCACAAAAGGAATCTCATGAAACTGAGATAATCAAAGCATCCTCTAAAACAAAGAAAGAGGGCAATGACTACGATGACTACAATGACGACGATAAAAATCGATTCTACGAGAGGCCGCAGTCAATCGTCGAGAAACCTTCATTCATGGACTTGAACATTCTAGTGAGAGAACTAAATGCCAAGTTTCGAAAGAGCAACAGTGTCTGTGGAGGTATCATGAAACGCAACGGACTTGCTCAAAGGAACGAAAACTGTGAGACATTTTCCACCCTATATGCCTTCAACACACTTGTCGTCGGTGGCACAGTACTCCCTCACATAAGTACACTCAAAGCTACATGGATTTCACTGGATAACACTACACAGAACCTGATAGACCATATCTGTATCAATAAAAAAATTGTAACGACCATGGAGGATGTGAAAATTAAGAAAGGAACTGATATTCTCTCAGATCTTCACTGCCTGGTCGCAAAAATGTAAATGACACTCAGAGAGCACTGCGAAACGGGGCAGACAACATCACAGAAGTTAATCACAGCCTATTTTCGGGATACTGGAAAGCCTAACGACTTTAATATCTTCCTCAGCGATTGGTTTCAGGCCTTGCACGATCTGCTCAGTGGAGAGTAAAAAATGCTTGAAAGCAATTTGGAATGGATCAATGTAGCAATCACTTCAACATGTGAGTCAGTTCTGGGCCACAAGAAGCACCATCACAAAGAATGATCTCTCTTGATACTCCTGAAAAATCAAGGAAGAAGTAACAGGAAGACTGCTATCAATATCAGCCGAGAAAAGAGCAAGGAAAGCCAAGGTACAAGCCGAATATTCAGAAGCGAGCAAGCAAGTGGTCAAAAGCATCAGAAGCGACGATCAAAAATATGTGGCGGAAATGGCTGAGAGAGAAGGAAACATCTGACACTTGTAAGGCATAACGAAAACGCTCACTCGAAATTATCGTAAACCAGAAACATCGCTGAAAAGCAAGGCAGGCAAAGTATGCAGCAACACTGAATAACAGAGAAATATGTGTGTAAAGCACTTTGAATAACTCTTTATTGACCATCTCCACTGTACTCACACTACATCGAAACAGCATCCACGTACATCCCAATCGATGTTTACCATCAGACCATCAGACAAATCTATCGCGAGAATGCAGCAGGACCAATTATTATTCTAGCAAACGCCATGAAAGCAGACGTGGCACCAACTGTGAAAATATTGCACACCCTCTTTAACAAGATTTGGGAAGTGCCAACAGAATGCAAAGAAGTATACCTGATCGAAATATCAGAGAAAAGCGATCTTAGCAAGTGCGTGAACTTTGGAGGCCTCAGACGTCTCTCAAAACCGAAGTCTTCGACAAGGTGTTGTTAAACAGAATGAAGCGTTTCGTACACTTCCGACTTCAAGATCAACAGGTTGGATTGTGTAAGCATCGATTGCGTACGGACCAAACTGCAATATTACCGATGATTGTGGAACAGCCAACTTAATGGGACCCATCAATTTACATCAACTACGTTGACAACGAGAAAACATTTGATAGCTTGAACAAGACAGTACTATGGAGGCATCTTTGACTCTACGGAGTGTACATGTGCCAGCATCACACGGCATTCTTACGATGAGTTACACTTCTTAGTTGTGCATGGAGGACAGACGACAGAATCGTTCGAGTTGAAGACCAGTGTCAGACAAGGTTGCTTACTTTCAACCTTTCTCTTTCTCCTGATGATCGAATGAATTATAAAGACGACACACATCTGAAAGACAGCACGGGATACAGAGGAAAACCATGATGCAGCTAGACGACTGAGGCTTCGCAGACAATCTGCCTCTTCTATCGCACATGCAACAACAAATGCAAGAAAATACAAACAGAGTCGAGTCAGGCTTCAACACACATGAAAGTATGTATTCTCTGATTCAACACAACCAAATCATACTTAATGGAGATACCATGGATGACGTAAATTCCTTTACATACCTAGTCAGTATCATTGATGAACAAGTTAGATCTAATGAAGATATTGAGGTACGGATCATCAAGTCAAGGGCAGTTTTTCTACATCTGTAAAACCTAGGTCGTATATTTCACTATAGATGTCAAGATAATTCTACTGGATGCAACGAAAACTTTTGGAACAATGAAAGCCACAATCCAGAAAATGAAAGTGTTTATTAACAGTTGTCTACGCAAAGTACTTCGGATCCTTTGAATAGAGAATATCAACAACAACCTACTGAGAGAGAGAACAAACCAGATTTCACTGGAGGAAGAAATCAGAAGGAAGCGCTGAAAGTGGATAGAACATACATTCTGAAAAGCACCCAGCAGCGTCAGAAGACAACCACTCATACGAATTCATCAAAAATAAATAAAACAGAAAAGCCTAGAAACATATTAAGCCTAGAAATTGTAAAAGACATGAAAAGAATATACAAAAAAATGGGCACCACTGGAGAAAGAAGAAAAGAGAATGCTGGCAGTCAGCCTTCGCTTTATTGAACTTAATAGGAGTAAGCAACGCGTGGGTAAAACAAATTGGTCATATATCAGTGCACCAGAAACCGTTCATATGAATTCTACAAACAGCTTCGGTTTGCTTATGTACATTATATATTCCAATCTGGCTACTTCAATGAAGACAGTACGAACGTTCCAGCAACAACACATTTAAGCCTGTAATTTATTACAGAGAAACATAAATGTTTAAATTTTGAAGATATCAGAAACAAAACGCATCAAAAAATACCGAAAAATAATTTGTGTGAACATAGCAACGACAAGAATATCGAATACAACAATTTCGGAACCAACAAATCACAATATTTAAATACTGAAAAAAGGGGTACTTCTAAATAACACAAGTCATAACCAAGTAATAACAAAGAAGTTTGGATAGTTGATACTCTGCAGGTAATCATTAAACATGAAATATTGTTTATACAAAACACACACATGTTGAATCATGGTGAAAGTTATTGTTGATCACAATAAAACACTTGTTTCGTACAAACCAATGTACGTTCTGTGAAGATATCTCAGTGCCAAAAAAATAAGGTGAATGAAATATTTAACAATAAAACATGAACAAAACGATGAATTATGACTCACGATGCTGGAATCTGTTGCAAACCACTGACCATATTACTTGGTAAACCACTTCCGATCCCACTCAATGGTAGTGTTGATGTTGCGGAAGGGAATGCACTGAACAAAGAGAGAACACAGACACACGATATCAAACGGACATCAATCACTGAAAATCGGTAAACAAGTGATGTAGACACAAAATATCAGACATCATGGCATCATCAAACACGAAAATGTGAATCGAACCATTCCATGTGGTTGGTGGTCACAGGAAAACAAAGTATAATCCGGTAGATTAGGGGAAGAATCAGGTCAAGAAACTCTAGAAACCATATTCCAGTCATTTATTTATATATATGCATACATGTGTAGAAGTTATATGTGAGCAAGTGAAGGGAACTCACTGCCATGATGTGTACAAGAATGATAAAATCTCATTCACAATGCTGATATCGTTCCCGAAATCACTTCTACTCATGCATATCTTTAATACGCTTCCTTGAGTATATCTTGTCTTCGGATCGATCATTATTGTTTTCAGTTCGCTAAATATCCAAATGCTTGACTGTCATGTCTGACGACTTAGTTACGAACATCAGTCACTAACAGCGTTGGATGCCAGCTCCGCGTCCATTCTCAGGCACAAGTACTTAATGTGTACTGTCGTGTAGTCGCATACTGTAAAGCATCGGATGACTTACCAATGCTTCCAGGATTTCGCCATTGGTCTTACATTATTCCACTTATCAGACCAACGAATCTCAATAATCTCTACAACCAAATATTGACTGCGTATAAAATACATGAGGTTGCATTCTCTCTGTCGCGAGAAAATCTAGTAAAAATCGTGTCTCGCAAACTTCATTTGTGAGGAATTCAGAAAATATCAAGTCGAATTTACAATTTCTAGAAAGGTTTCTTTGGGTTTCTAGATTTCGTTTTCTCATGTTCCGAATTTCAGTCAATCGAAGACCAAAAGCTAACGCCGTATAATAATATATATTGTGTCAATCATATCGCCATTCCTACTCTCTTCTAATCGGTGAACATATCACCCATTTATGTCCTACAAATATCCAGTTACTAGTACAATCGATATGTGTCGTTTTGCTGTACTCGTGATCTTGCACCTCTTGCATGTAATCAAAATAGTTCAAATAGAACACGGTACTCAGGTAGCATTCTCAGTGTTCGGGTTGGGTCTTCAGGGTAGTGGAGATGTTTCGTAGGCATTCAAGTGTCATCTGTGTCTGTGTGAATATGGTGTTGACACACTGAACAAAATATCAAGATAGCACTTTACCACCGAATCTCTGTTGATCCGAAATATATTTATTAGTTGATCGATGAATGAAAATATATCACAAACATGGATCATTTTTCGAACATGTGCATTCTAATTTATGTTCGTGTCAAGTCAATTTCATTAGTGGTGGTGTTCAGTCTTCTACGCTGGAGGTTTTGGTTCTCCACCATATCTAGTTTACTAGCGACAGGAACACAACAAAGGGAGAACAATGCTAACTCAGTAAAGAATAGATTTGACAAGAAATGTGTGACTTACTTCCCGACCATTTGTGGAAGACCTCCAATCATTTTACTGGCTGCTGGAGTAGGTGGCATCGGTAAACCCGTCGCTACAACTGGCCTGTCGAAAAAGACATGAATCATACAATTCCATAATAAAATGGGAATATTTCAAACAATCTCACAAACACACTGTATGAGTGAAAATTTAAACAGACTGTGTTCTCTAACAGACGTGACATACTTTAGTGAATTCTGTGTAACTCATAAATGAAAACGTCAGTCTAGACTGAACATTTGTACACGTCACTTCACAAGGAAATCTCAGTAGATTTCAGAAAATGAAGTCTGTGTTTCTGCAATGTTCAATTTTCATTCTGTCATCCATGCAGATGAATTGGTTCTTGTACCAGTCAATTGAAAGGGAATGCCGTCTTTATCACAGATTATTTATTGTTCATTACAAGTGAAAGCCAACAACACTGGACATTTGCTTTGTCAGCATATGAAACAAATCCCTAGCCAGTTCTTTCTACTCCTCATGAAATCGAGCATATAATCTTGGATTAGTATTATTAAGTCCTCATTGAATGCCGAAATCCCATTCTCAATCAATCTAAGATGCGAAGTGATGATGGTCTACTGCTGTTGATGCAAACTGTTTAATTCACGACATATCTGAGCTCAGCAAATTATATTGTATTATGAGATCCTCAGAGTGTTATTGGAGAAGAAAATGATGAATAAAATATTGTAACTTCACAGAGTGAGTTTTGTAGGGCATGTTTCAAAAGGTGCGTTGCATTCTTGACAGACTAGGAATGAGGTGCACCTGCAGAAGTAAATATTTTGAACAAAGTTCTCGTCGCTGAAGTGTAGCATCACAAGGCATAACTGTTATTCTGTCCCACTATATTTGCAGTATTTCTAGTTCTGAAGTCAATCAGTGTCACATCTACCACTTTCGCACAACACGTTATTGAATAAGGATATTTAATTTACCAAAAGTAGGAGAAGGCTGATATCGTGTAATCAAAGAAAAAGAATACATCACTGCTCTATACTGTCTTGATACAAAGATACTGAATATTCTATGAATGCTATTTAGGTCATCCATAACTGTAAAACAGGAGATGAATCCAATTATATTCTACATATAATCGACCATTGAGTAGTGAACGACTTCATATCAACCTAGCACCGTATCGATGATGGAGTCCTGCGAAACAAGTTTCAGTATGACTCAAAATTTCATTCAATCTATTGAGATGTCTAATAGGTGAAGGCCGAGTTCAGGAAGCTTAGAAAAATCACGTTTCAACAGTCACTCTTTCAACACGAACAACCTAGTGTTAAGGTTTTACTCCGTGATATTAGATGATGAATATTTGAATTCAATCAGAAACATCATCTTCCCTACACTAGGTTGCCTGGTAACAACTAGCCTAAAACACAAGTCAGGCGGTGTTGATTTCAGAAACCGATTCACCGACGAACACTTATAAAGATTTAAATATCTAATTTATTCTCTAATACTGATAAGTTTCTATAATAATTTGCATGAAAGAACATTAAAAATGGTTGTAATAGCCGCACATAACATTTATGGAAAATATCTGTGCGCCACATGACATTTTTTGATCGGACATCACTGTACAGGTTGCAAAATTGTATGTTTCAGACATGAGAACAATCACTTAAGTGAAGTGTTAAGACTAGTGAGTGTAGTTTCCAATTCACATTATTCGGTGAATAGGTTCGTGTGTAAAGTGAATCTTGTATTTAAAATTTTACTGCACACTTTGTTGGTTGACACGAATATTTACCATATATGAACATTCAAACTCGTTTCACCTGAATAACATACATCGCTAACAAGTGATAACAAAGTATGTTGGATAGTTGATACTCTGAAGGTAATCATTAAACATGAAATAGTGTTTATACAAAACACACACATGTTGAATCATGGTGGAAGTTATCGGGGATCACAATAAAGCACTTGTTTCGTACAAACCGATGTACGTTCTGTGAAAATATCTCATTGACAACAAAATAAGGTGAATGAAATATTTAACAATAAAACATGAACAAAACGATGAATTATGACTCACGATGCTGGAATCTGTTGCAAACCACTGACCATATTACTTGGTAAGCCACTTCCGATCCCACTCAATGGTAGTGTTGATGCTGCGGAAGGGAGTGCACTGAACAAAGAGAGAACACAGACACACAATATCGAGTTGACACCGATCACTGAAAATTGATAAATAAGTGATTTGCACACAAAATATCAGACACCATGGCATTATCAAACACGAAAATGTGAATCGAACCATTCCATGTGGTTGGTGGTCACAGGAAAACAAAGTATAATCCGGTAGATTAGGGGAAGAATCAGGTCAAGAAACTCTAGAAACCATATTCCAGTCATTTATTTATATAGATGCATACATGTGTAGAAGTTATATGTGAGCAAGTGAAGGGAACTCACTGCCATGATGTGTACAAGAATGATAAAATCTCATTCACAATGCTGATATCGTTCCAGAAATCACTTCTACTCATGCATATCTTTAGTCCGATTTCTTGAGTATAACCTGTCATCGGATTATCCATTATCGTTTCCTTTCTTATAAGTTTTCAACGTTCGCTTTGAAGTGGAATGCTCCTTGAGAACGCAGTTAGTGAAAGCTTTACAGTTCTTCTTAATTTTTCAATTAGTTCTTCACTGTTCTGTTTATTTTTTTGTCCTAAAATTCGTTACTTACTCTGGTTACGTGTTGCTGATATAGCTGGGCGGCCTCGGTGTGCTGTCCTTTGAATGTATCTGTGTTTCTAATTCTTTTCGACTTCACGAGATCATCACTCAATTCACCCACTACTCAAATCACATCTGGTCTTTTGAATTTCAGTCCTAACTGGATTCAACTTTGTTTTCTCGCTTAAGGTAGTCACTATTGGCTACATACACTGATGTGTGACGACCCTGTACTCGCATCAATTTCTGCCAAATCTAACAATCCAAGACATTCGTGGGGAATCAGTTATTTTTCTGTCCTTATTTCATTCTATTTTAATAGTTGCTGCTTATCATATATCGATATTTTTATTATATAGACTGTTTCCGCAACAACTTTCTACAATATTGGAACTACTGAAATTGGGCAAAAGTGGTACGACACCTTACAGCTCGTCCTCCTAGGTGTCGGAACGAGCCCAAAGGAAGATATTCAGTGTTCCGTCGCTGAATTAGTACATGGCACGATATAGCGTCGGCCTAGGGAATTTTTCACACTGCGAATCAGTAATAATATTGATAAATTAGACTACGTCTAGCGATTGTCTGAATTCATGCGAACACTGCCTCCGGTGTCAACTCGAATACAGCATCGATTGATAGCTCCCCTGCGAGAGTTATTCACCAGTTCAGATGTTTTCATACCAGTAGATTCAGTATGCGATCCTCTGAAACAGTCATACGAATGATCTTTACCAGTGACTTTTCGCCATGAAAAGACTTGTAAGGTTGATCGACATGGCCACGTCGAGATCGTCAACATTTATCGCCTGAGGCTGGCACAGGTCGATGATCTGAGGTGCAATGCTAGACCAATAAAACCTACTAAAGCCCATTCTAACGTCCCAGTTAACAGTACGCGTCATCTGAATCATCTACGAATGAGACTCCGATCTCACGTCCAGATCAGCAGACCACACCGCCCTTGACTTCGGATAAGATTGCAGGCTCACAAAGTACGCGTTCTGATCACCGCGTACACCTACCTGTACGACAATTGACACGTTTTAGGACTTTATCCTCATACTTGATGCATGCTGCACCTTTGTCTTTTTCCCATATTTTTTATCCACAGCCCACGTCCCTGACAATCACCCTGTTGATACCGTCGACTTCAATCAATCTTGGCGAAAGCTGGCCTGACCACCCACGCTCTTACCGGTACACTCAGTCGGTGACATACTTCGGATAATATCCGGCATCCGTATGGTTTCACACTTGGTCGTTATGGTCTTTTCTAGTTCCTTCGCTCAATCTGGTACCGTCCTACGTCTGTAACGTTTCCTGGTCTGGACCCTCGCGAAAGAGATCTTCAGAGTCTGAATACAAGCCACGCTGATGTGTCACGCCAACTCGGGCAGCAAACACGGCTCACTATGGCTTTTCAGTAAAAACTCGAGCTTCAATGGTCGCTTCCTGTTCGTCAACCCTTCCGCCCTACAATCGCGCGTTGGCCGATCAGTGCTCCCGAACAAACTACAACGTATAGAAATTTGAAACCTTTTCTGCGAGAGGCTACTGTAGTGAAATATTTGTACGAAGAGAACGCAATAATTGAATTAGAAACATTTTTTATTGTACCCAATTGTATCAATCACTGTTTCATTTTACTCTGTGTTTAACTATGCTAAATGTCATTAATTACGCGCGTAACGTGTTGCTTATGTTGCTCGGTAGCCTCGACTGATTTTTTCGCCGAATGTATCACAATCACGAAAGCTCTTCGATATCATGGATTCATCAGTAAATTCACCTCGTTCTCCAATCAAATCTGATCTTTTGATTTTAGCCCTTAACAGGATTCAACTTTGTTATCTCGCGATAGGTAGTCTAAGTTTGCTAGAATTTTAGATTAATCCACTCTTAAGATCAAAATATCTCAAAAATCTTTACAAACAAAAATTGATTGCGTGTAATTTTTATGTGATTGTATTCTCTATGCGACGTGAAAAAAATTAATGAATATCGGGTATAAGATCCATTTTTAAAGGCTTTTTTGTGAAAATCTCTCCATGTCTATATTTGTAATTTGTTCTTATTGATTCCTTCACTTGTACACTTTGTTAATCTGTTTAATTCTGTTTCAGATGGTATTATTAGCATTTTATTATGTTTTCTATTTCTTTTGACTTCACTGAGTTTCCATGTTTCTTTGTGAACTGTACTTATGTGTTTTAGTTGATATTTATTCTTGGCTGCTGACATATTCTCTCGTTCCTTCTTTGGTTGTGTTTCTGGTAGTGACTGGAGTTGTGCGGATTGGAGCACTCTTCCAGAATAGGAAACTCTCCTTATTATAAAACAACCACATATTATCTTTCAAACAAATCTACCTATCCAGAGGGGAAAGAATAACATTCAGTTGTTGCTGATGATTTACTTAATTGAACAGTTGTTGGTGGAATAAGTGAACGGTTATATTTGTTTAGGCTGTGATGTACATTTATGTTAAGCATCAATATTAGAACCGTCATTCACTAAGTCACATGCTCTGAATTCAACTGAGCGATAGTGCGTATGCAAACCACCTAGACTGTTATTCTTCAGTACAAATGTCAGTCAAAATTTGGCATCGGGTATTATCTAACTTCAAATGAAAGGAATTAGAAAATTTTCGAGGCCATGGAAAGTTTCTGTAGATTTTCAGGTTTCATTTTCTCAGTCAAGTCATCTGGTTCTGTTTGGATATTGTGTTGACTCAGTGTACAACAAATCACAATAGCACTTTATCACTGAATCTGTGTTGATCCGAAAAATTTCATTAGTTGATCGAGGAATGAAAATTTATCACAAACATTGATCATTTTTCGAACATGTGCATTATAATTCATATTTGTGCCAAATCGAGTTCACTAGCGACAGGAACAGAAAGTTAAATTTATGCTTACTCATTAAAGGATAGATCTGACAAGAAATGTGTGACTTACTTCCCAACCATTTGTGGAAGACCTCCAATCATGTTACTGCCTGCTGGAGTAGATGGCATTGGTAAACCGGTCGGTGGAACTGGCCTGTTGATAAATATGTATTATGCATATAATAAATTTTTAATATCTTCTCCTTTGATTGTTGTTTCTAACTCGTTTAATCTCACACTTATTGTTTTGATGATATGTGTTTAATCGATCTATCGCAGTAAATTCATCAAGTCCTTCAACACTGTTCTTTCACTATTTAAAGGGTTACTCATGACATATTTTGTATTATTATTTGCTTCTTTTTTTGGTTCATATAAATCATACGTTACGCAAATAAATTTCATACTCTACGATGTATAATTTAGTTGTGCACATTCAATTTACATAAATTTTTCTGACCGCATTTCGCGAGTTTTCTCACGTCTTGCTTCCTAAAAAACAACCGTCTATTATTTCTCACATCGTTTTCTGCTTATGGATTCATAACTTTTAAAGTGTTATACTACACGAATGTATATTAAAGTTGATACTTTGAATTTTTATGAATCATCAAGTCATGTTGATTGGATTTTTTCAACCTGCGTAGTGTAACTTTGCAGATAAAATAAAAATTCTTGGAAATAATTTCATCAGGTGTCTAATCGATATTTTAAGACTTCATTAATATCAGTTACTCAAGGAGTTGAAATTACCGTATAACATCCAATAAAGTTATAACTGAAATCTAAATATATCTAAATAGTTTAGTAACTGCAATTCTAAATGTTTTAAATAGGTCCAATATCTTTGTCTGTTGGATCAGCACTGCGAAAAGTTTCAAGCTTCACTCTATAGTGGACCTTGTAGTAATGTGTATTACTCGGATCACTCGAAAGAAACACGTCAGCTGAGTCTTCAAGAAATCGTTCAAGATGGTACTCGGTCTCAGATTCCTACTTTTAGTGAGACTAGTAGAAAAATGGGACTCTAAAACTTGAATTACGCAGTCTATTGTTCAGAAACAACAAAACATTAATAATTCTACCGCTTGTTTGTTGTTAGTTAAAGACAGCGATTGCGCATTTTAATGTCATATCTGCGGTTCATGGTATCACTTTCGCTGTGGTTCTGCATCACCTAGATAGTACTGTGAGTTCTTGTTGTGCATCCCGTGTCTCTGATTCTGGTTCACTTCAAAGTAAGAAATAATTTAGACAACCAAATCAACAGCAACAAAGCCAAAGACGCTACCTAAAACTGACTGATCGATCCGCGCAGCTGAATAAGTCGATCAAATATGTGGTAAATGTAGCCGAAACACAAACCAGTACATCAAAAAAAGTACATGATACTGTGAACTACATTGTATCTGTAGATATAATGGAACAGTAGACGAGCGTTTAGAAGGAAACGACAACATCATTGCTCCTAAAACGTTGCCAATGAGATACAGGAACGTCAAATAAGATACACTTATTTTATTAGGCTTTACTTTGTTGGAGGGAAGCTAAATGGAAAGTAGGTTCATGTTTTTGTAAGAGCAATAGGATAGATGCTGCTCACAGCACTATTCAAGTCAAACTGTGCACTCTGTTCACTGGCAAGAATGTTGATTAAATAATATCCCCTACGTAAGGGAACCCTCGAGATCTATTATAACATCAGTTGTCGCCCAGCAACAAGCCAGAATGGTGATTCAAAGAATTTCTGAGCTGGTTACTGGTTGCTTGTATAAAGCTCACGCACCTGGTGTGCATAAACCGCGATGGATCTGATGGCTGTGAACTGAAAAAGACATTGCTGAGACACATCAGGCTTGATCCAGCACGAATTAGTAACTCTCTGGTCACATCACCTGTGACCTCAACGATCGAATATATACAGCGGCTAGTTCTCATAGGAGCAGTGAACTGTGATCAAAATTTCGATGAAGAATTTCACCACGTAGGCTTGCCAGGTGATCGGACGAACCATCAGGTGTTTCTTGAGCAACGTAAGATGACAGTGCGGTAAACTGAAAATGTTCATATTCCTGTTAAACTATAAATGATAATCCTGACTGAAACATGACATTGCAGACGACAAAGTTAGCTTCCAAGGTATAGAACTCTTCCTATGCTATACGGTATACAAGACAGGAGGCGGAGTGCCTTATGTAATAACAGCCACTTTAAAATCGAAACACTACACTACATGCTGATGTTGCTTTAACTTGAACATTACAATATAATTGACGTGAGGAGACTTATTGGTTCCGTCAAGTTATGATTTTTTAGGAACAAATTTAATGTGGCAATACCGCGAATGCCACTGACTAGGTTTCTTCAAACACTTAGCTGAGGATTTCAGCGGTCATTCTTCAAGTCCGTGAAAGCATGGTTTACATCCCACAGGTGGGATCGGCGAGTAACTTGGAGCATCCATCGGAAGTTCCATACTGGCTGAGCGAGTATGAAATAAAAAAAAATTGACTAAGGGTGAAAAATTCTGTAATTTGGAATATTTTTTACGAAGCCAGCAGTTCTTGGACCAGGATTTCCATATCCACACACTGATGAGGCGTTGACTATGGAGCACTCAAGTTTATTATTGTCAGAAGTGAACTGGCGAGACGAAAACCAGCCCTACGTTTGCTAAACTAGGGCAAGTAACGCGCACATGATGGATTGTCTTACAAGCACCATATGGTCAAGTGGATGAGGGTAGCTGTCGGTAGACGATTACTGACAAAATACATTATTCCGAACGATGTTTTGCACAATGCACCTCAACCAAACCGCAGACCTTGAAAGGAAGAACATAGGTTCAACGAGGCATAGAACGCTTGCTTCAGGAAAAAAGAATGGCTTGTTTCTGTCAAATGTCTTTGACCCTTATTTATAAATTCGCACCCAGAAATAAATGCAATGCTAAAATTTTAAGTGATGGGAGACACATCCAAAAGAAGCTAGCTTCCGAAATATCCGTTAAGGATCGCAACTGAAAGAAAAACCTCAATGCAGAGTGTTCGTACTCTCAAAGGTCCGAATGAGCGAATCATTTGATAAGTTCGTCACTTAGTATGCTTCAGACTATTACGAGTTAACCTCAGTCGATAAACGCGGACGAGACTTTTAACAGCGTCCAGGTAGGCTACCTTGAATACCCAAAGGCTTTGTAAGCGTAGAAAGTAAATTCTACAAACACCCAGCAATCACAGTACAATCAAGCATACAACTCTCGTTTATTTATACAACATAGGAGCGTCCTTGAGACAGTTAAGAAAATAGCATACTAAAATACACTGCAGCCAATCACAGCCATTGATTTTGCTGGTGGGAATTGAAATCTCAAGGTCATCTGATCAGCCCATGCTGGCAAAACGTGAAAACCAAAATACGGCATTATCAACGAATTTTGGGGATCTAACATCCCCAACACTCCTCCCCTTTTAATAGCGTGTTCTCCTGGGGTCGACTTGCATCTTGACTATTGTTCGCCGCTGTCTGACAGGATACCTTCGGGAACGAAGAACAGCTTGCTGCTGAGTTTGTTCTCGTGGCGGGGCTCTCGGTATGTTGAAGATATCAAGCAAGATGTCAAGGGTAAGGCTTTCTGCTCTTGATGGGCGATCTGGGGATAGCCGTCTGCTTATCTGATTCCGACGATGTGACCATTTATCACCTCCTACCTCTACTTCGTACCTAACTCGACCAACCCTTCTAACCACTCTCGCTTCTACCCAAGGACCATGGTTCGTGCTGTAGTCGCAGTCAAACACAGGACATCCCACTTCGTGAGCGGATTGTCTTTGAGGCCTTGTCTCTAGTGATGAGGGTGCATTAGTCGGATGCATCAGGCTTTGGATCGTTTTCAATTTTCTTCCCATCAGGATTTCTGCTGGGGACTTTCGCTGCGGTAACAATTCATTTGGTGTTGTCCGATAGACGTACAAGAAATTTTGTAACGCTTCGGCTGGCGTCCCCTCCCCTTTTGACTTAAGCAGTGCTCTTTTAAACGTATCCACAAACCTTTCCGCCTGCCCATTCGATTGCGGGTGGTATGGTTGTGAGCGTAAGTGTTTAATGGCTGGCCGTTGACAGAAATTCTGGAATCGGGAAGAGGTGAACTGAGAGCCATTGTCGGATACGATCACATCTGGTATGCCATTTCGTGAGAAAATTTCAGTTAGGAGCTGTATAGTCTTAGTTGTAGTGGGCGGCATAACGGGGCTGATTTCCGGCCATTTAGAAAAGGCGTCAACGACAATGAATGTATAGTTCCATTTATTGGGCCAGCGAAGTCGACATGTATCCTGGAACAAGGATGCTCAGGTTTGGGCCATGAAACCGGCGGAATTTTGTCATTCATCTTGGCCGCCTTCTGACACCGGATGCATATTTCAACCAACGCTGTGACATGTTGATCCATGTGAGGCCAGTATGCATAACTCCTGGCTATGGACTTCATTCGTTTAATCCCAGGATGACCAAGATGGAACTGTCTCAGCACTTTTGCACGAAGGGATTCTGGCACCACTACTCTTTTACCAAACATCAAACAATCGTTCGCGATGCATAGTGACTCCAGCCGCCGATACAGCTGCTTCATCTCACCTTCAAACTTTTTCGACGGCCAACCGTTAGTGACATATTTCATCGTCATCTTCATGATGGGGTCGTTTCTAGAAGCATTTTGTATGTCTGTTGCAGACACCGGTAATGAGTGAACTGCGGTTGTCAGATAACATTGTGCGTGATCTTCTACTGACAGAGATGCGATCACCATGTTTTCCTCAGCCGCCACTTGATCATTAATGAGTCGTGACAAAGCGTCTGCTTGACCGAATTGTAGAGTGGGTCGATATTGGATTTCGAAATCAAACCCCAAAAGTACCAAGGCCCATCGCTGAAGACGATTTACAGAATGGGCTGGAATGCCAGACTTTGAACCAAATATTGCTAACAGAGGCTTGTGATGTGTGAGGAGCGTGAATCTCCGACCGTATAGAAACTTATGGAAACGGCTAACAGCAAACACAAGGGCAAGAGCTTCTTTCTCTATCTGGATATTCTTCTTTTCTGCTGGGGTCAGTGTACGGGATGCATGTATAACGGCGTTTTCTGACGCGTCTGGAAACTGATGTGAAATAACAGAACCTAGGCCATATGCTGAAGCGTCTGCTGCTACGATGATTGGTATGTATGGGTCGTAGTGTGTTAATAACAATTCCGAGCTAATTATTGACTTGAGTTTACCGAAAGCTGCGTCACACTCTTTAGTCCAGTTCCATGTGCTATGCTTCTGCAGTAGACAATTCAATGGAGCGCGAATATCATGCATCGAGGGAACAAAAGCTGAATAATAAATGAATAAACCGAGAAAAGATCGTAATTTGGAAACATTAGTGGGAGTGGGCATCAGTTTGAAAGCTCGGATGTTTTCAGGATCCGGTCTGCGACCGTTGGCATCAACGATGAATCCCAAATACTTAACCGACTGCAATAGAAACTGGCTTTTTTTTGGGCGTAACCGGAAACCATTGTCAATGATGCGTTGTAGCACCAATGTCGTGCGTTCCCGTAGCTGTTCTAACGTCTTCGCAACAATCAAGATATCATCGAGATAAGCTGCAACCCCTGTGATATCTAACAGGATAGTATCCAATAGTTGTTGGAAGATAGATGGGGCAGTCTTAACTCCAAAAGGTAGGCGGTTATACTGGAACAAACCACGATGGGTGTTGATAGTAAGCAGCTCTTTAGATGCTTTAACGACTTCCACTTGCAAATAAGCATCAGCTAGGTCAAGCTTTGCGAAGAACTTCAGCCATCACTTGAACCCAGTACCTATTAGTTCAGAGCAATAGTCAAACGTGCCAGCTGATGGCCTAGGTAATATCTATCTAAATCCTGACTTAGTACTAAAAAAACTAAAATCTCTGCACCAAGAAAAATCAACGATACATGACAGTATTGCACAACAGCCTTGAAACAGCATGCAAAATCCCTGAATTCATCGGTATGTGACCTGCCCAGCCATTCACTGGAGTCACGTCAACTCCTAGGTAAATATAAACCAGCTACACTCTTTGAGTTCCTCAATGTAATGGCTGGGAAAGATTCAGGATACGTAAAAAAGAGGTCGTTTTGTGTCAAATATATGAAGTGCAAGCGATCTCCCATCAGGAATTTCACAGGGGATTATCTTGAATCCACTGCTAACCCGTATATTTATCAAGGAATTGTTAGATAATATCAACTAGGCGCCACTAAACTACACAGATGTCATAGAAATAAGGAGTTACACGAGAATAAAGGTGGATTCACTTGTGTGGCAGCGAATTAGCTATAAACATCAGAAGGCGAGTCTAAATTTTTATGGGCGAAAATTCACATTGTGAACACTCAGTATCACGTGATATACTCAGTGATGGACCTCTCTCTAATGTCTCTCTTCGGAGTACTTTCGGTCTTACAGCTATAGAAAGCCTTAACTTGAGTAAGGGCTAAAAACTGATGCAGCAGGTCATGAAAAGACAAGTTGGTTCAATCAAACCACGATTGTTCTTAACTCTTGCGCATGCTCGCACCTTTAAGTTCACATTGTCTTCAGAAGAGACATAAATCCCTTGAAATAAGTGCAGAAATGAGTACCTATATGGATGATAGTAATGAATAACAAAGCTTACGATGAGCTTGGTGAATAAGTTTACTCATTAAGAGTTGTCGCAGTTTGGAGTACTCTCCAAGCCGAAGTGATTTTACCTTCAATAAGAAACTTTAAAATGACGCTCATAGAGACGGATCGCAATCTCCTGCTTGAACCAGCGGCGCCTAAACAAGGATTGAGCATCAAGAAATCAACTGGTTTTTATTATCTCGTGAGAAACGTGTTAGATATTGGATATTGGATAAGAGCGCGTATATAAAAAGGTTTACGAACTATCGCTTCAGAAGGTATAAAAACGTGCTATTCGCGATATCGCATTGGCTGAAAATCTGTTGAGAAGAAAATGAACTTCAATAAAACTTCCATTCTTAAGCCTTTAAATATTTTGTTCCGAAAATCCATGCTGTAGTAAACATATAGTATTATTATTCAGACTTCATTTAAGACAGTTTACGAGGACAGACGAAAATTATGCTTCAGGATAAGTTAAAGTTGGCCGGTTACCATTCATTATAGCTCATTCTCCTTCAAATGTTTGGTTATTGTTCCGTAAATGTAAAACTTCATCTCGAATATTCATAGTTTTAAGAAGGATGATTATCTATCTATCGTTTACGCAACTGCTTGTCAAACTAGAGGTTCATAAGAGTGATTTAGGTAGTCTGACCTTTATCCTGTTATCGTCAGAATAAATAAATCTAACTACGTTACATCAGAATGAATATTAATAAATGATAACTTTCAACACTGATTTACTGAATATTGGAGTAAACATTCTTATATTTATTAGTTGGATCGGTTTATATTTTTATAGTTCTTCAATTATAAGCTTTGTTTGACTTATTACCCACTGGTATACGATTTACTATTACTAATCTATTCCCAATCTATAGTTTAATGTCTTTTCTACTCACAACCACCTTTCACTTTGATCATGTATAAATCCCTTCCTTGTTTTTTTTGATGTTATGAGTTCTTCCTCCGTCTTTGTATACACTAAACCTAGCTGAACTATACATAAAAGTGTGGTACGTTCTGATTTTTCGACTAAAGAACTAGACGGAACGGTGGAAAAGAATCGTAAACTAAGGTTATGAAGGCTTAATCGTATTCCTATTTGTTTACTGTTGTATGAATTGGTTCGATAGTCAAAAGACATAAAATCAATCAATTTAAATTCAGCACAAATCAACTTCAAACTTACGATGATGGAATCGGTGTTAATCCAAATCCACTACCTGTCACTGAGGCCCGAGGTAATGAAGGTAATCTACAGAAAACACACACAAAACAAAAGAACAGAATCTTATACAAACTTGTTTCAGTAAATCTATATCACTAGAATAATCTGTGGTGTCTGAATGAACTAGTAACTTCTTGTTGTTGTGAAAATGCTTGATTTCGAATTCTAAATACAATACATTCGTTAGTGCCTATCTTAATTCTTGATACATATACTTCTAAATACTACACTGGCGTCGCGATGGAACTTGTAATGGAACAGCTAGATATTCATTCTACTTCTGAAGCTTTTGAAGATTATTTGGAAAGGTTTGAAATCTGGAGTATGACCAGGAAAGATGTCAAAGATGATAAAATTGTGGCTCATTTCCTAACATTCATCGGAAAAGAAGCGTACAGCTTATTGAAAACCTTGGCATATCCAGAAAAACCTATTTCACTTCCCTATGCAATGCTTAAGGAGTTATTATTGAATCATGTAAAGTGCCCTGGTTTTGAATGCCGTGAAAGAGCGAAATTTCATAAGATGATTCGTCAAAATGACCAAAATGTTAAAGAATTCATTCTTGAATTGCAGAAACAGGCTGTCAAATGTAATTTTGGTGATCAACTTAATGTGCAGCTGAGAGACCGATTAATTGCAGGAATTAACATACCTAGTTTGGAAAGAGAGCTGTTAAGAATGTCAAACTGTTCCTTTCAAGATGTTAGAACTGCGTGCATTAACTATGAGGCGTTGAATGAACTTTATATTCAGTCGATGAAGATTTCCAATACTTTGATTAGTTGTCATGATGAAATACAATCTCAGGGTCAATCAAAATTGTGTTCGTTTAACAGTGGTTCCTATTCACGTGTAAATATGAACGGTGTCTCAAAAAAGAATTACAAAGGAAATCAAAAAGGTGAGACCAAGTTTGGCAAATGTTTATCATGTGGAAAACTTCATTCTCGTTATTATTGTACATTTCGTAATGCTAAATGTTTTAGATGTGGTAAGATAGGACACATTCGAGCAGTATGCAAAGCTACTGTTCATTTTGCCTCAAGTAGTGCTAAAGCTTGTAATTTAGATTCCAATAATTCAGCTGATCCTAATGATCATTTATCTTTAACTACCATTTCGAAAGGTAATGCTCATATTCAAAAGCGACTATATACATCACTTGGTTCATTTCATGACTTTATTGTGGACACAGGCAGTATAGAGTCCATTATTTCATTCAAGAACCTGAAATCGTTAGATCCGAACGTTGTGATACGACCCACTGATGTATCAATATTGGGGATAACTGGACACAAACTGCCTATACGAGGATGTTGTGAATTGCTAATAAGAGATGATAATTCCTCATACATACCTTGTGAATTTTTAGTTAGTGAAACAGGACTGTCAATACTGGGTTTGAAGAATTTGAGAAGACTTAAAGTGGAGTTGTCTTTCCTAGTTTCTAAAGAAAATTCTGATGCTTTACTTAAAGATTTGATAGCCACGTGTGCTAAGTGCAATGGAAGTATGAAAATGGTTCAGCACGGGAGTGCCAAGCAAATTCAACATGTTGACTACATTTCTCGACAGTCATTAAATGCAGATATTTGTCGTACAGCAAAGAATTGCGAAAAGTGTCATAAGCTGAAAAATCAGCATTCGAGGTTGAGTGATTCTATTGCCGCCTCAACATTTAATGAGCTGGAGAGGGGAGTAGATACCTTTCTACTGCAATATAGAAATGCCAGACATTCGGTGACGAAAGAGACTCCGTCAAAACTAGTAAAAGGAAGAATTCTTCGGTCGAATATGAGATGTTTGGAGTCTGCAGAAGTTACATATTATCGTGGCAATGAACTTCGACCATCCACGGGGATTGTTCTGAAGAATGTTGAGAAATCTATGGTGCGACTTCTAGATATCAATGACTTAAGTACACACAATCGACATGTTGATCAAATACAATTCCAAGAGCCAGGTGAGTCTGTTCCGATTTCGGTTGTTAATTCTAATACTAATGAGAGCATTCTAGATAATACAGAGCCTTTATCCAATACACTGTCGGACAGACACATGATGAATTTGAGAAGAAGACGTACAACTGATTACAGACATATACATTCCAATTTAAGCGGTAGCGGATGTGGTGTTTGAATGAACTAGTAACTTCTTGTTGTTGTGAAAATGCTTGATTTCGAATTCTAAATACAATACATTCGTTAGTGCCTATCTTAATTCTTGATACATATACTTCCAATCACTACATAATCCTTGATTTTTAATTCAACAACCTAAATAAGCTTATAAGAACGATTATCATATGGTGACTTAATACTAGCTGTAAGAATGAATTCTCTGAGTTCTAGCGAGTATGAACCGTATCGGGTGTCAATGAAGTGCGAATAAAACTGAGAACTTAGTTGAAATTGAATTTCTAGCTCAATAGTTTCATAGATGAGCATTCGCCTACAAGACTAAGACTGTGCTTATCTATTATTCAATACTGCAAGTCTAGGACACCATATATATGTCATAAGTTACTTTTTCAAAAATAAAATATAATAAACGAATAAGAAATTCATATGCACGCGTTAATCCATAACCACTCTGCAAAACTTACTCATCATCATCATCAAGTCCAATTTTATTTCTACTTAATTTGGATTGCCATGACATAGTTCGTCTTGTTCTTTGCAATGCTCCTATATCAGTTGCTGCTAAAATAGAACTATTCCTTCTACGACGTCTACGTAGTAGACAGATAAGTAGTAAAATCAATGCGGCCAATAACAGCAATGCTGCTAAAGCGATTAATGCAATTGCAGCTGGATGTACTGTAGAGAAAAAAAAGAGTACGAGATTCAAAAAACAAAACGTTTTTTCTTTTTTAGTGTTTCGTTTGTATAAATTCAATAGATAAGCAAAGTTTAAATATGTTGTGCTGCATTTCATATGACAGTTTGGAACCAATTGGTAGTCAAATTCGTGATGGATAGATCTTGAAATTGAAGTACCTCTGGAGATTATAAGATTTCATGTAACCATTTGGGCCTGTCGCCTCTGGAGGATTATACGCTCTCGATCAAGAATGGAATGACTTTCCAATGATTGCAAGCTTCTATTGTGGTGCTGTGGTGCGAGCTACTTATAAGTAGTATATGACGTGAGAGTCAACGTAATGTCTGGCAGCAGAAGATGGGGAAGATCAAGAAAGGAACAGTTAGAACACAAAATGGAATTCGTATGAAACGCATGAATAGTGACAATGGATTGATGTTTTGCAACAGGAACAGTCCAGTTCGATATGATGAACTGTTATTTTGCAAATGAACAATTTACGATATGGTTTTCCGATTTTACTGAGTAACTCTGTAATTTTCGTTAAATACAATTCGGTTACCCCACCTGTGTTCTCGTTCACTTTACTATCACTAATGTAACATTGAACAATTCATGATTTTGCTAAAACTGAAATCTCTGACAACCGTCAATTCCTCAGTTATTGTTAAGCATGAAAGTCAACACGTCATTTTGATATGTTTGAACGAGCGAGGATGAGGTGACACGACAGTTGACTCTAATCCGAGTGTCCCAAAGCCCCACTGAGTAAAAGAAGAAAACTTATGACATATGATGTAGAACATGTATTCTACAAGTATCCTGAAAGCACGAGGTTCCGTTCCAGAATAGGATAAGGATCTGGATCAAGAATCTCCAATCTATTTTATTCTCCACCCTCCTTATATCGCTTTTTTCTAAAAGCTATCCATTCTTTTAATGTCTACATACAAATTTCAGCTATTAGGTATTTTTATTTTAGAATGGGACTTCTGAAAAGTGAACTACCGTAGTACTACACTCTGAACTACCTGATATCGTGGGAAAATCTTCGGCATGAAAACTCATTGATCGCTATCCATCGGTACAATTCCAATAAGTTTGTCGTATGAATACAACAATTATTAAAAATCCACTGACAACACAACTATATTACTGTTAACGTATCTGATATCTATCTTGTGTTCCTTTCGTTTAAATGATAGTTATAATATTCGGAAGCTTATTATCACATTACACAACAAAGATATGAACATTAATGGAATCCAGTAAGCATTTCTCATTCTAATTTGAGATTCGTTAGCTTGATGTACTTGCATTCTTAAGGATGAGAGGATATTTTAAATAATCAACACAAATGTACTAAGCTACAGGTTTGTGTGTTTGACAAACCAAAAGAAGCATTAACTTTTTTGTCATGAACACAAGCAATAATCACTTTTGTATTGAAATAATGTCGATTAATTTGAGTAATGAAAGTTCATGTAAATCCCTAAAGGTTAGATAATGAACTGATCATGAATAATTTACAACTGGAATCTAGCAGATGATCACTTAGTTCTAGTTCAAATTTATGCTGATCGCTAATAACTAACTTTATGATATAACTCTTAGAGTGCTGCTGAGATGCTGTGGAGAGGGTGAATTTAATCCTTGTCGAGTATAAGATAGTTATTCAATCTAAGCAATAGATTTAGTTTCCTCAGTATCATGAACTGACTGAAATTAGGCATTACCAGTGTTGATTGTGAACTCATATTGGTTTGAAGATTGAGTGTTCTCTTGCGAACCTAAAAGTCTCGAATTCGATTCCAGCCCACTATATCATGCATGTGCACTGCTAATGAGTCTCATCATAGAATGGAACAACTTTCCAGTGCTTGCAAGCTTCTATCACTAGTGTAACATTGAGCAATTCATGAATTCACTAAAACTCAAATCTCTAACAACCGTTACTCCTCAATTATTCTTTAGCATGAAAGTCAACAAGTCATTTTGATATGTTCGAACTATTACGAGTTTACTTTTGTCAGAAAACGAGAGTACGGATCCGGTGACACGACAGTTGACTCTAATCTGAATGTCCCAGAACACCCATTGAGTAAAAGAGGACAAGAATTGATATGAACAGCAACAACAAGAAAAAAAGTCGATCAAATTTTTTTCTAAAACTTACAAGCACACTGTTTACCAGGATCACTTGGATTCATATCTTTCCACATTGAATTACAAAAGCAAGTAATACCAGGTGGTGAATCACGACATGTAGCATGTTCTCCACATGGATTAGTAAATTGTGAACATGTTACTGTACCAGTAGAACCTATGATTATAGAATATGTCAATAGAATATATATCAATTAAAAGCATGTATATATCCGTATTCTATGACTTTGCACAAACTATGTACTCTTGCATTATTGATATGATTCACACTAGTAACATATTTCAAAAGTTAATTTTGACCATTTTAAATGTGAAACTTTGAGAAACTAGATTTTTATCACTGAAGATATTGGAAATCAATTACACAATATCGTGATTTCACTAAAATGAGAAGTATATTGTTTGATGGTGACTTTATTTGCATTATGGGGTTGTGAAGATTGTTAAGTTACACATTTTTGAAACCATGAATCGATCAATGTTAGACCACCATTAGAAACCTTGAAGCACTGGACGGCCGTTTCGTCCTGGTATGGGACTCCTCAGCAGTGCGCATTCACGACTCCTGCACCCCGCAGGATTCGAACCCAGGACCCTCGGTATTGTAGGCGCACGCCTAACCATCAGACCACTGAGCCGGTATATAACGGTGTTAATGTCTAACTTCTGAGGAGTCCCATATCAGGACGAAACGGCCGTCCAGTGCTTCCAGATTTCGAATGGTGGTCTAACATTGATCGATTCATGGTTTCAATCTTCACAACCCCGTAATACAAATTATCTGCGCTCACTAGTGACTACTTTCGTGAGGAATCTTCTCCGAGGTCTAGTGGGAAGATGTGACCAGTGAAGTTCAACCTGTTCGGGTTTACACAGTGTCTACCGAAGACTGTGTACGATGTTGCGCAACTCCGTGAATTGATTGTTAGTCTATAGTAAAATAACTGTCAAATACTTCCTGTGTTTTAATGATTGTCTAATTAATTATAGCTTTTAAATAAACTTATACATTCCAGTCCATTAAAATAGTTTGAATGAGACTGTATGATTGAAATCGAGACAAAATAATTATCATGTTTCAGAGCGTCCTATTGAGATCACGTGCTATATTGCCAGTCGGGGACCAGTGATCAATTACTATTTCATAGATTTACGCACTAACCGACAAATCGCACTCAAGTCGTTTAACGTTTACTGATCTTCCAGCATCTTCTAACCTAGTAGTTGAAAACTAAAACACATTTGCTTTCTATCGTGTCTAAGTTTGAAGTGCATAGTTACTAGTCATACTCTTCACAGGGATGAAGTCATAATACAATGCTTGTAAACTAACTAAAATTCTGAAACGAGTGAAACTATGAATGAATTTACTCCAGTGAGTTCCATTTACAGTTTTCATTCGAAATCTTTGACCATTAGATATAAAAATCACACGGAGCGTAATTTGATATTATCAATGTCCTCATGCATCAGTATAACACATTGGTTTGGTCACCACGAAATTCCGTCCAAACTTCTCCTACATCAGACATCATCGGTTGTAAATGAGTTAGTGGAATGTATATTCACTTAAACAAACTGATCTCTGATGTGTTTCCCATAAAGCCAATTTGGTTATCTATGAGTACACACTGCTTGCAAGTGCTGTTATTCAGATTTCTGAACAAATATATATTACTACATGTAGTCTTCGTCCTCTGTTTCCGTATAATGATAGGCGAGTCAGAGTACAAAACATTATCTCTTATACTTATTCGTGTAAGTCGGTATAAATTACGTGGTTAGGATCCGTGAGACTCAAAACTTTGAACGTCATAGCAATGACTTAAGTGCATTTCGAACATGTTGCATAATTGCTTAGGGTAGTCAGAAGACTGCATTTTGTCAGCCCCTTCACCAAGAAGAAGAAGGACGGAGAAAGTGGACATCCCTTACGCACACCACTTGAAGTAAAGAATTCCGATGACAGTTCTCCATAACCTCTAACTCGACCTGTAGTGTTCGAGTAGAGAGCTTGTATGAGGTTAATGCACTATCATAGAACCTCACGATCCGCAGAGTAAAATGCCTCCTTTAGGATCAGGACACCTAAGCGTGTGTCTGTATTCCAGTCACTGTCATAGTGTGAAAATGTGGTCTATTCATCCACGTACAGATCTGAAACCAGCCTGGTCGTTTCTAGTTTGCTCTTCAGGAGCTCTAGTTAGGCGTCTAATTATTATCCGAATTTCTTACAGATATTTTTTAATCATTATTATTTCATAAATTTATATTTTCTTCTCAGATTTTATCTTCAGTACCCTAATCTTTTATCTGACCTTCATTAATGTTAATGCCCTTTTTCTTTTCATCTCAATATGGTAATCACTTCAACTAATGTATATATGTACTATGTTACTCATTAAAATTGATTTACGACTCTATTAGAAAGATTATTAAGAGAATGAGTCGATCAAAGTTAGACCAACATTAGAAACCCGAAAGCACTGGATGACAGCCCTTTCGTCTTGGTATGGGACTCATCAGTGGCAGTGCGTATGCACGCCTCCGGCACCTCGCAGGATTCGAACCAAGGGACCTTCGGTATTGTGCGCGAACGCCACTGGGCTGATGTTAATGTCTAACTTTGATTGACCTAGGGATTTTGCGTGTCAACAAACGTTTGTCATCGGTAGTTACTGGTTAAGCGTTCACGCACAGTATCGAAGGTCTCGGGTTCGAATCCTGCGAGGTGCAGGAGTTGTGGATACACACTGTCACTGATGAGTCCCATACCAGAATGAAACGTCCATCCAGTGTTTCCAAGTTTCTAATAGTGGTCTAAAATATGATTGACTGATGATTTCAAATGTGGTAAAACACTAATCTCCATAACTCTAAATGGAAATATTGTGTGCCTTTATTGCGAGCCTACAGGGTTTATCCTAGGCCTTGAATATATTTCTAGATTATGTTACCAGACAGTCATCTGGTTACGAACTTTTGACAGCAGAGAAAGAAGAAGGCTACTTAGTTCTTGACCAATAAGCATTTACAACATTGACTCAAAGTTACCAGCACTAAAGTATTCTTCTAAATGGTGTCTTATGTATGTCAACGATTAAAAAGACACAACACAGCATAACACGAACTAACTAATATAAAGTTCATTCTAATTGATTTTCAAATTTTTGAATCGATAAAAACAAAAAAAAACAAAATGTACATAATATTCAAAATTCAATTAATTTTACCTACGTTGAACATCTAAAGCATCTAACTTAATTGATGATGGTGAACTGTTTGTTTTATTGTATCCTTTTGTAAATAGACCATAAAGTTGACTACCAGTTAATTGTGTACCTATAGTGGTTGGTACACTCATCACTGTATCAGCTTGTACAGCTCGAATTACTGTACCATCGGGTCGTTTTGATGTGACTGGTGTAAAAGTGACTTTTTCACAACTGGCACCATTTGTGGCACTTTCATCACCTTGTTGTAAGTAGTATATTAACTAGGGTAAAAAAAAAATGGAAAAGAATGAAACAATCTTGTTAGCATATTCATCCAATATCCTGAGAGAATTATTGGTCAATTCCTATTGGTTAATTCCTACCGGTCAAATTTATGGTCGTCCTAGACATCAATGTCACGTGCTCGAATCTTGTTTCTTATTGGTTGTCCTGACCATCAATATCACTTCAGATCTTGCTTCTTATTGGCCGTCTTAACTGTCAATGTCCCAGACTTCCATGCTGTTTCCGATTCGACCAAAATGTATAAATACGCATTATGTGTAACGTTTTATGACCAGGACCAGAACCCAGTCCCGGATCCCTAGTCCGGGATCCTGATTCTCTTCTGGACTCAGACCTCGTACTTTCTGGGTGCTTGTAAAATACACGTTCTACTTCATATCAAGTTCTTGTCTTCTTTTACTCGATATGGGGGGTTGGGATAATCGGATTTGAGTATCATGTCGTGTCACCGGATCCTCGCTCTCGTTTTCCAACTAGGTAAACTCGTAATAGTTCAAGCATATCAGAATGACTTGTTTACGTCTGGGCGTAACAAATCTATTAGATATCATGATGAAATGTCAAACTAATGAAGTTTAACGAATGTTATCATAGAACTTCGTACGCACGTACATCAGTTCAAGTTGTCATACCACATTAGCACAGAAATGTAATTGTCAATTCAAATCCAATAGTAGTAGACGTAGTAAAGGTATTATCTGTAATTGGAGAAGGTAATCTTTTGGGACCTCTTTTAGCCGATGTATACATTTGTTGAATGTCGAAAATTCGTTCAATGAGCACATCAGTAAGGTTACAATAGATATATGGAGGATATTTTGGTTATGTGCTATAAAGGATAATCTCAATAGTCTTCAGAATGTAATTGTCCTAACCTGCGAAGCAGAAAGTAATGATCATAACTGCATTTTTTTAGACATACTATTGAGTCGAATGGAGGAACTATAAATGGGTCAGTTTGAAGAAAGTCGAGCTGGGCTGGATAGTATTTAAATGTCAGTAGTTTTTGCCGATTACAACATAAACGAGACTTGTTGAAATGCCCCGAAGAATTTGCAACGCGTATACATTTGAAGACAATGCGAAATTCTTGAGTGAAACATTGATTTCAAACTTCATCAATAGGCGTAGAAACCAGATGAAAAAAATGTCTTTATAACTCTTTACCATTTAGAGGTAAATAAAATAACTAAAAGCAGCCATAGAGAAAACATACAACGCTGCTAAACTGATTATCATTGAAAATACCAAGCTCATGATTTCACATATACCTAAACGTTGCTCGAATGATAACATCACATGTTTGTGTGGACACACATAGATAGGGAGGAGAAATCGGACTTTGTAATCAAGGATTATGAATTATGTACCTAAATGTCAGATGATCTGATAGACGAATTCTGAGTTTTATGTAAACCTTGGCTATTCGTAAACTAAACTCACCCCCCCCCCGTATACGTACAGATATAACCTTGAATTTACCCTGGTAGTCTGTAAATCATTTTATGGCGTAGGGTAATGTGACAATTTCCTACCCTTTCTTATTGTTTCTATTTTTATTTTCTCTCTCCCTCATTTACAATGATCACATTATGTCTATTTGAACTTTTATTTAATTGACCTTTTATGAATTTTCATATAAAATGCCTTGACAAGTGTACACACATATATACATGATCAAATTGTTCCAAATATGCATTGCACGCATATCACATCACATTTTTCGCCAGTCAATTATGTCTTCTCGTTGTTCTAACAAAATTTATACAAAAAATGTACTGATTGTTTGCATACACACTGAAATCATCAATGAATCATTGTGTTAGATCATCAGCATTAGAAACCTGGAAGTACTGGATGACGGCCGTTTCGTCCTGGTATTGGACCCATCAGTGACCATGCGTATCCACGACTCCTGCGCCTGCAAGGATTCGAACCCAGGACCTTTGGTCTTGCCTGACCACTGGGCTGACAGCCAACGGTGTTATTGTCTAACTCTGATCAATCTACAGATTGTTCTTCAAATGAATTTAGTTACATGTTCTTATGACTATACATCAGTATTGTGTATCAAAAGTGTAGAATCATAACAAAAGTCTACAAGGCTAGAAACAAGTGATTATGTAATAATGAGTAAACTCTGATGATAAGTAAACATTCAACGAGTTCAAAAGAAAGTCTTGAACAAAATTCTAAAGTCTAGTGTTAGCCTGTGCATAAATCATCTAGAAAGATTGCGAAGTATCAACTTGTTATCCTGTATGTAAGAGATATTTGGTGACTGCATTGTCTAAAGTTGATTTTTTGTTGTTGGACGATACTAAGGAATATGGCAGCAATAAAATTGAGGTTACGCTCAATGAACAAGATTCTGACTAAAGGGGGTTCAGTCCTAATCTCCCGCAGTGGCACTATGACCATGAACACGTACCATTATTCTGGACCATGCTAGGTAGGCATGGTATCCTAAGCTTTCAAAACGGCTTTTGGCCGCAGCACTGTAAACAATACCACGTTGCCTAGCTGGACCACGAAGAGGTAAGCCGCCACCGCAACCCTCAAAAGGCTCCGCCGCCGTTTAAGCCTGCCCAAGAGTACAAACATGGTGATTATTTCCAATCCACGATCGCGTCAATCAATATGCACCAAATGAACTGTAAGCTCCCCATTTCCGACACACTACACGATCCACTACAACCGGTTAACAACTAACAATAGCCCATGGATGAGCCGGATTATCGCCGACTTCATCTTATTCTATTCAAATTGTTGTTCTAACCATTGGGGATGTGGAGAGTGTTGAGTTACTTTTAGAAATCATGAACTGACCAATGTCTAAACACCATTAGAAACCTGAAAGAACTGGACGGCCTTTCGTCCTGGTATTGGACTCACGAGCATTCACAATTTCAACAAACACGTCGACATTGACTCAATTTATCAACCAATCAGAAAAATCTTAGGATCAAGAAACAGATCAAAAGGGGGGTGCAATCAAAACAAAGTTGCAAACAACGACAGATCAAAAGACAACAGCAACCAATCAAGATCGAGGTTAGCAGATCAAGCTACAGGTCAGTTGTGGAGAAATCCGAATGCATCACTTCTATCTGAAGTTTGTGCTGATGATGTTGTTCTGTAGAACAATGAAAGCTCCACAATCAAAACAACCAGCTCAGAGAACAAAACACCATCACAATAATACAAATACTATCTGTAATGTGGTGTTCAACCATGTTCAGGTGTGAAGCAATGCTCACCGAAGTCTGTGTATGAAGTTACGCATGACCATGAATTGATCGAAGTTAGACATCAACACCGTTCGATACTGACTCAGTAGGCGTTTGTGTGCAAGACCGGAGGTTATCGGTTCAAATCCTATCATGTGCAGGAGTCGTAGATACGATTTCGTTCCATACCAGGACAAAATCGCTGTCCACTGCTTACACACTGATAGATTTATGATATCTACAAGACATCCTAAAAGAAATGATATCATTTACAAAAGTATAAATTAACATACATAATAATAATAATAATTATTATTATTATTGATAACTTCAACATACCAAATCACAATATTTTGATTTTAAATTAGCATAACCCGGTGAATTTGTATTACTATACTCTTCAATCCATTCTACTGGTGTATCATTACCTTGATTATAGATTTTTGATTTAATGTCAAATTTTGTAGAGACTAAAATAAAATTTTAGCGAAAAAAAGAAGATTGATACTATTGAAAATGATGATAAAATTTATTTATACACTTAACAATATGAAATTTATTCATGACAGAATAGTTTGGCCATTTCTGATGACCGGTCTGTTCTGTTGTTAGTCGTTTTGGTTTGTCAACAGTTATTTCTTTGTCTCTACGACTAACATGTAGTTCTTAATAATGTTTACTGAAAAAAAACTGACTTACTGATAAGTTTGTCACTAGGTATGCTTGAAACTACTACGGATTCAGCTTACTCGGTAAATGCGAACGAGACAATGAACCAGCATCCATGTAGGCTACCCTAATCTGCTAACTAATAAAAAGTCTTTATGTAACGTAGAAAGTATATTCTACAAACACTCAGCAAGCACAATGCAACCAATCACACAAATCTCGTTTATTTATACATCGTAGAAACGTCCTTTGGACATTCACAATAATAGCACACTAAAATACACAGCAGCCAATCACAGCCAAGGATTTTCGTGGTGGGAAATGAAATCTCAGGGTCAACTGATCAACCCATGCTTGCAAACGTGAAATCCAAGATAAGGCGTTTATCAAGCGAGTTCTGTAGATCTGACGTCCCCAACACTTATGTCGATTACTTCTTGTGGAACACAAGCAGTGATTTTTCAACTAACTCTGTCCTGGACGTTCCTATGCAGTGACGACCAATTACTATTCCTTCTTTTCATGTTAGCCTCTTGTTCTTGACGTAGTCTATTCTTCTCTTCTGGATTTGAGAATAACAAGTTAAGGCATGCTTCGAGATGTAGTTAGGTGATTTCTTCAATGTGTGTCTTATTCACCTTCAGTGTCTTTTCCAAATATCTTCCTCAAATGGAATCTGATTTGTTCTCTTACACAGTAGATTGTTGGTGATAACGTCTAGTTAACAGACCCTCAGGATCTTGCGTCGACAACTATTAATAAACACTTGTATCTTTTTGATAAGGCTTTTGTAGTTCTCCAACTTTCCGCTCCATAAAATAGTACTGTCCTGACGATTGCATTGAAAATTCTGACTGATGTTGGCTGACATTTGTTTTCAGTTGTAGGTATCCTTCAACTGTACACATGTCACCTTTGCCTTCCTAATCTGCGTCCTCACATTACTGACTGATCTACCTTAATAATCAATGATTAAACCCAGTTATGTAAAGGTTTCCACATCTTCCAGAGTTTCTTGGTCAAGTGTGATTCGGATAATGCATGTCATGTTGTGTCGAAAGATCTTATTTGTGTAGTGGTTGTTGCAACAGCGTCTGTCTTCACCAGCATTTGTTACTGTATGTGGAATTAAAGATCTAGATCATCTGTGAAGTTCAAATCAACATCTAGCTGCATCTCCACTGTCCACTGTATCCCTTGCTTTCTATGAAATCTCGATGTTTTCATAATCCAATCAACCACACGTTCAGAAAGAAAAAGGCCAAGAGTAGACAGCCTTACATGATACCGGTTTTCATTTCTAATGAGTTTGTCAGCTTTCTTCAATAGAACGATTTTGCATTATCGTTCATTATAGGAGTTCCAAATGACGTTAACTATCTTTTCGCGTACACCATTATATCCAAGAGGCCTCTGTAATATCATAATATTAGATATTCATAATTTGTGTCTTAGTAGAATTCTATTAGTTTTTTTCAAAACACTTCAGTGTTATTATTTCCCCCACATGCGCATAATCACTTCATCTAAGTTTATTTTCAAATTCTAACTCTGAACTTCTATCTTCCTTGTTAAAAAGAAACGATCAATACCTGCATAGAGTATGTATTTGTTAGTCTGTTAACAAGAGGATATCAAGGCACTGTATTCCAGCTAATGACTAGTTTTGTGAAAGAATTCTCAGAGTGTAGTGAAAGAGAACACAGGTGGGGCAACCGTTTTGTATTTAACGAAAATTACAGAGTTACTCAGTAAAATCGGAAAACCATATCGTAAATCGTTCATTTGCAAAATATCAATTCATCATGTCGAACTGGACTGTTCCTGTTGCAAAACATCAATCCATTGTCACTATTCATGCGTTTCATACAAATTCCATTGTGTTCCCACTCTTCCTTTCTTGATCTTCCCCCATCTTCTGCTGTCAGACATTACGTTGACACTCACGTCATATACTACTTACAAGTAGCTCACATCACACTTGGATGCTTGCGTGTATGTATGTGCAGCGCTTACTTTGCTTGTGAAATGTGTTTAGACTATGTTTGTTTGACTGTAAGCAGTTTAGTCATGACTTATTGCGTTGAGTTTGGCTTAGTCGCCTACTCCACTCTGGTTCGCTTCACTTTACCTTCACACATTGTGTTCCCACTTTTCTTTTCTTGATCTTCCCCCATCTTCTGCTGCCAGACATTACGTTGACACTCATGTCATATACTACTTATAAGTAGCTCGCACCACAAGAGTTCTAGTGACCACTGAGATTGAATCGTGTCGGACATGAGGCACCAAGGACAATGATGGTTGCACGACATCGTGGATTGATTTTAATTAGACAATAACATCCGCCCAATGATCATGACGTTAATCATTCACGTGCGAAACCGACATTTTCGGGTTCTATCCTTACTCTTCATATCGTGAATATGCATTATTTATGAGTTCAGTATCACGATGAGAGAATCGTTCAGGTTTTTATTAATGACTGAACGTTGATCAGTTCATTATTTCAATGAAATTCAATCATCTTAAAAAACTTTTATCTATTTTGATATATTAAAATAATTTATTGAAATAGTTGGACACCCGAGTGAGCAACGCTGTTATTAGGAATCGGGTGATAGGTAAGAATGGCAGATCAGTAGACGCAGTAGTGACACTTCATCAGTTGAGGTGGTTGGGACATGTGCTGCGTATGCCCAACCACCGACTGCCTCGTCGAGCTTTGTTTTGTAGTGTAGGAATAGGTTGGAAGAAAGTTAGAGGCGGCCAAACCAAAACATGGCACAAATCCATGAAGTCATTTACGAGTGGACTTAGCCATGTCGGTAATTGTCGACTACCTGGTTGGGGTCCGCGAGATGATAATAATCGATGGTTAGAGACCTTGAAGGACATGGCTCAAAATCGTTTGCAATGGCGCCGGTGCATTTATTCTGTGTGTTCTCTCAAATCCTAATCTTCTGGGTTCTTCAACACCTCTAGTTTTGACTTTCTAAACTTTTCTCACTGAATCTAACTTCTTGAATAATATCTTCTAATCCTAACCTCTCCTATTACTTCTAATACCTTTACTACCTCTTCTACTATTGGATCTGAATTGACAATTACATCTCTGTGCTGATGTGGTATGGCGACATGAACTGATGTACTTACGTACGAAGTTCTACGTTGCATCTGAGTGACTGACTGAATGTATATCTGAATCGTTTTTCATTAACTTTCAGTTAAAATTATCAAGAAATCTACTTCCGTCAACAAGAAATTAAACATCATATTCAAGAAAGTTCAAGTTTACGTTGGATAACACATGCATAGTCTTTTATTTAACCAAGAAATAATGCACACGTAAATTTGATGAATTGTCTGACAGTTACAAGAGTTCAAATACCTCTGCTCTTCCTTTCGAAATCCGCTCATACGATCATGCGTATACAGATACTGCATTCGAGTATGGTGAATCTTGTTGACTTGAATAATAGAAAGAATGTTCGGCTAAGACTTAAACTAACTTGATATGTACGTGAGACCGAACTAGAAAAGACAGAAAATGCATATTCCAAACCAACAATGCACATGCGTCAGTTACCGTCAACGAGATGAGATGACTGCATCTTCCAGCGTTGCTCAATATCTTGTGGATTAGATTTGTAGGCTCTCTAAGAAGACTGTATGTTGTTGTTTGGATACTTAGATAATATCCTTATCCTCACACTAATACTCTGAGTTGTGTGGTGCATCTTTTTACAAATAATTATGTGTTTAATTCGATAGGATACCATGAGTGTCACAATATTTAACGATTTATTTCCTACATAAATGATTTGACTCGTTTCTGTATTCGTCTGGTATCGCAGAGCGCTTGAAAAGAGCTGATAATGACAGTGTTTCTACTCATATAGAATTCAAATGTAAAACTTCAGCGGCCGTATTATGAATGAAATACATTATTCGTCACTTTATCTTGATCTTTTTATGTCTATTTCACTAAATTCTACTTCTTGAATAATAATATCTTCTAATCCTAACCTCTCCAACTACTGCTAATACCTTTACTACCTCTACTGCTATTGGTTTCGAATTGACAATGACATCTCTGTGCTAATGTGGTGTGTCAACATGAACTGATATACGTACGTACGAAGTCCTACGTTGTTATTGATTGATTGACATACTAACCCTACAAGACTAACTACTTGAGTCATAACGAAAGGGCGGAAAAGCAAGTCTATATGGCTGCTTAATATATGTATATGATATTATTCATTCGTCCTTTGGCACATTTCTGACAGTCATCAACTGGCCTTCACATCTGTCTACTTCTAATTGGCTAATAATATCATTAACGTTCAAACAAGACAGTTCTTACTCGACCAATTTCAACTGAGCACATCATTTATAGTTCATTGGAGAATGAATACAGGTATTAAAAAAAAGTAGGTGTATTCCTATTCAACTATTTTTGAAATACAAGTAAACTAATTGCTTAATTTTTAAAAGACGTTCATAGAATATCAATTATTCATAGCCTACATATTTTTCATGTTCACTCATTCAAACATTTTTCAATATTCAATATCAATAATAATCGATTGAACAGTTTATAAAAAAAAAACATTCAACTGACCTAATGGTAGAGCAACTGGTGTGATTGCTGTTGATGGTCGTGTTCCTAAAGAAAATTCAACAAAACTATATGTAGGTACTCCATCAAAACTAGGTGTTGTTGTACCAGTGGTTTTCGGAGTTGTCGTTGTAGTCGACACTACTTCAACTTGTGCTTGTGCTGTTGTGATATTCGGTGCTTTTGTAGTAGCGGTAGTACTTCCAGTCGTTGTTGCAGGCTTCGGTGTAGTAGTAGTAGGTAATATCTCCTCTAATTTAAAGTAAAAACCAAAAGAGTATTAATCACAGTATTTAAAAAAATGATTAAGAGAAAGTCACCAATCGCGCCATTCAAATTATACGCTACATTTTAGTTTCAGTAAACGGTGATTTTTTTTGATCAGTTATCCTATGTTCTACACTAGAAATAGATAAGATATATATTGTGAAAAATTCATAAACTGTGTAGAAAGACAAACTTTAACTTCGAATGTTCTACGCAAAAGTTGTAGTTAGAAAACCAAAGAACCCATTGAACAGGGGAGTTGAAGGTAGCCATCAAAAGAATGCAACATGAAAGGAAAAACTGAACATAAAGTTAATACAAGAAATCAAATCATTCACCCATGTTTTTAAAAGGGTATAATAAATAAGTAAATGTTGTCAGAAGTGTATGATAACTTGAATCTATCAAATATTTTTGTCTTTTATAAGTTGCTACTTTTCATTTGTTAGTAGTTAGCTTTAAATAGTGTAATTAATAATGCAATCCTTTGTTAAATTTTGGAGACAGAATTATGGATCAGACAAGTTAAACACGTACAATGACATTTGAGGGTTATTGAATAAATAGGTTGAGAGACAGCCATTTCGTCCTGTTATGGGACTCATCAATGTCAGTGTGCATCCGCAACTCCTGCAGCTCACAGGACTCGAACCCTGGACCTTCGACCGTCCAGTGTTTCTAGGTTTCTAATGGTGGTCTAACATTGATCAATTCATGATTTCAAATGTGTAATTTAACAGTCTTGACAACCCCGTCTTGAAATTACCTGTGCTCACAAGCGACTAGCTCCATGAGGACAAAGTGGACGGCCTTTCCAGCTTCGTTTACGTGAACACCAATTAGCAGTCAAACGCCACGACAACTCTTCGCTTATATCAATACACACCGACAATTATGGACATACATTCGATTGGGACAATGTGGAAATACTGGATAGGGGGAGTGCACAGATAAAACTAGAGATTTTTTAGAAGGTTGGCAATCAGGTCAATCAGCAATCAATAAACACATCGACATTGACCCAATTTATCAACCAATCAGAAAAATCATAGGGGACATTGGATCAAGAAACAGATCAAAAAAGGGATACAATCAAAACAAATGTGCACACAACGACAGGTTTAAGGTCAACAACAACCAATCAAGATCGAGGTTAGCAGAACAAGCTACAAGTCAAACGTGGAGCAATTCGAATGATTCACTTCTATCTGACCTTTGTGCTGATGATGTTGTTCAGAAGAACAATGAAATCTTCACAACCAAAACAACCTGCTCAGAGGACGAAACACCACCACAATCCATGAGGAATCTTTTTCGAGTTATAGTAGGAAGTCGTGACCAATGAAGTTCGACCTGTTAGGATGTAGACAGTAACTACCGAAGACTGTGTTGGAGGTTGCGCAACTCCATGAATTGATGGAAGCTAGACATGAACAGCGTTAGATACCAGCTCAGTGATCCAGTCCTGGGTTCGAATCCTGCGCGGTGCGGGAGTTGTGGATGTGCCACTGATCAGTCCCATAACAGGACGAAATGTCTGTCATCCAGTGCTTCCAGGTTTTTAATGGTAGTCTATCCATATCAATCGCTTTGTATTAGATCAAAATTCATTGTTACACTCTCTATTACAAATAGATTATTGTCATAAACTGTTGTTATGAAACCGTAAGATATATAGTAAATGATTTCATTCATATATAAACCATCAAATTGAATTTTCATTCAGACTTTATACAAACAAACTCTATATATATAGTTAGCATTAAATGGTCAATACATAAAAAAATCAATAATCAATGTCAAACAAAAATGCACAATGTATGAAAGAAAATTTATGATCGATTATTAACGATAACAAGCAAATTAGGTACTTGCGTGATTGAAATTATGAAAATAATGTCTTCAGGTTTTAAATCAACTTTTCCATTTTTGTTTCGTTTTTTAAAAGAGAAACGAAGATCTGTTCAATGATCAATTGATGAAATAACTTGTTTTCATCGATTGACTTAATTCGTGTTATAATTTGAAATAAAATTGATTTCTTTTAATTATTTAAACATTGTGTGGTGGGCGCTACTTATAAGTAGTATATGACGTGAGTGTAAACGTAATGTCTGGCAGCAGAAGATGGGGGAAGATCAAGAAAGGGAGGAAGAGTGGGAACACAATGGAATTTCTATGAAACGCATGAATAGTGAAACTTCAGACAATGGATTGATGATGGATTGAAGATTTGCAAATTAACGGTTACTGTATGGTTTTCCTATTTTACTGAGTAACTCTGTAATTTTCGTTAAATACAGTTCGGTTTCCCTCACCTGTGTTCTCCTTCACTACAATTGTACTGTAAGGAAATGGTTAATCGTTTCTTAAAATTTAACCAGAAGGTTTAAATGTTCACTCATTATTGATAATTCAGAAGTAATAAAGGTGTATGAATCGAAACACACCATCTGACTATTTAGTAGTAACTCGGCTGGATGCCGGCTCTGAGGACCGAAAGTTAGGCTAAAGTCCTGGGTTCGAATCCTGCCAGTAGCTGAAGTCATGGATACGCAGTACTGATGATGAGTCATCCCATAGCATGACGAACTCAGCTATCCAATGCTTCCAAATTCTCTGTGATCATGGGAAATAATAGTTTTATTAAATTTAGACTTAGTGTACTTTGAAGTCATGAACGAATCAATATCAGACCATCACAACTGAATCCTGAAAGCAATGGACGGCTGTTTCGTCCTTGCTATAGGATTCATCAACAGTGCGTATCCACGAATACTGCTACTCGCAAGATTCAAACACAGGATTCTCGGCCTTGCTCACAAACGCCTAATCTCTGGACCACTAAGCTGGCATCCAATGGTGTCCGTGTTTAAGTCCGATCAGTTTAGAGATTTTGAGCAACCCCAACCGTTGTCTTTGGCAGTTACTACCTACATACAACAGGGTTGAACGCCATTGGTCACATCTTATCTCTAGAATTCCGTGATCCCCACAAAACTTGTCACTTGTGAGAACGTTTCTCCTGATTTTACATTATAGATAGTATTATGGAGATCATCATTCTACCATGAAGTCATGAATGGTAATGAATCCCATACAATGACAAAATGGCCATCCACTTCTTCTAGATTTCTGATGGAACAATGAATCCTTCTTGAATTCAAGTTAAAACAACAGTCAGTGTTTTTTTAAACCTGCGAATTACTTCTTAACAATTTTTTACAAACAAAACGCTTTAAATCTAATTATCTAAGCTTGAATCCATTTTATAAATGACAATAAGCTGACTATTTCTAAGTCTTTTAACATTATCGATTTTGTGGACACATTGTTTCTAACAATTCACTTTACGTCACTCACGGTTGTCACCCCCCATGGAGAATCGGTAGTCAATCAGCATTCATCAACCTATTCTGTCTTAGGCCTTTATTTGTAGTTTTATCCCATTCTTATTCATTCTTCTGATATCTGTCTCTGTTTCTCGGTGTAATGTATTCTTTGGTCTCCCTCTTTTCATTAGGGCTTGAGGATTCCGAGTGAGGGCTTGCTTTGTCAAGCATTTGGGTTATTTACTCAATATGTGTCCTATCCAACTCCGGGGCTCCTTCCTGCTTTCTTCTTCAAATGAAATTTGGTTTGTTCTCTCTCGTAATAGGTTGTTCCAACTGCCAGCGGTTTCGAAGTATTCTACATATACCACTGTTCATAAACACTTGTATCTGCTGGATGATGACTTCCGTTGTTCTCCAGGTTACCGCTAAATAAGGTGCGACTGTGTTGACATTTCTATATATAAAATCTTGACTTTGATGTTAGTTGATAGTTGTTTTGAGTTCCGGTTGTTATTCAACTGCAAAAATGCTTTCCTTGTCTTGTCAATTCGCGCCTTTACCTCTACGCATCAAATCCACCTACGCTACTTGAATCGAATCTGAAAAAATGACTTCATTAGGATTCCATCTGTAGTGTCTAGTTGGGCTCCTGCATATTCCTGCATGCAATTAGTAGTTCAAAGTTGAATTCACACAGTAAGTTCATTCAATCCTTTGTCATATCAATAAATGCTTGATTAATTCAGGAACCTTTAATGCCAATTGATAGATTGTATTCTGAAGAGTAATGTATATAAACAACGACGTTTACTAGACTGTAATCATATCAACCAATGTGGATCATTCTTTGTTTGCAGCTAAGTTTATAAGAAATTATTTTTTACAAGAGATCAACATTTACAAACTTTAAATAAAACACAAATCAAACAACTTGCAAAAACTGAACTAAAATCGTCTGAAATGATATGAGTTGTAGGAAAAATGTTTTTTTTTGGGGAAACAAAAAGGCAGCAACTAAAATGTAAATCAAAGCAGGGAAATAAAATAATGCAACAAAGCATGCCCCAAAATGAAATTAAATCAAGCTTTAAGCGAAACGAAAGCAGCATATATAAATATACTGAAATAAGAAAGCGCCAGCGTTGTAAAGCAAATCAAAACAGAAACAAGAAGCAACCGGTGAAAACAACTCACGCGAAGACGAAGAATCAACGGATGGGGAAACACTTGTTGTAGAGATGATAAGCGGAATACCAGCGGATAATGACGAGCGTGATATTGACGTAGAGAGAAATGCGGAAGTCGAAAACAGTGGAGTGGATGTAAAAACAGGTGAGTCTGAAGCATTTAAAGAATCCAATGAACGAGGAGTTGAAAATGTCGCAGTAACTGAATGAACGAATTGCGATGAAGACGAGGACAAATTCTGATCCAGCACCGAAACCGATAGCGTAGAAGCTGCACTAACATTCCTGATAGGAGAAGAAGGCGAAGTTACGGATACGGTGAATTGGGAATCGGAAGCACTGGTAGTGGCCAGAGAGGACAGTGGTGGTGGTGGTGTGGATGTTGCGTTGGAGGGTGTAATTATTGTCAGTGTAGGAGAAGTTGCTGTAGTTGCAGCGTGAGTAGTCTGTGACAGGTTGAATGATGTGGACGCCGTGACTGATGCTTGTGAGAACGGAGCTGACGTTTGTGTGTTAGTTGACGATGGTGATGCTGTGAGTGTGGAAGACTGAGTCGGCGGTGATGCAGTGTGCGTTCGAGGGAGTGGATGTTGGTCGTGGTGTTGTAGATCCGGTGAATTGGGAATCGGAAGCACTGGTAGTGGCCAGAGAGGACAGTGGTGGTGGTGGTGTGGATGTTGCGTTGGAGGGTGTAATTATTGTCAGTGTAGGAGAAGTTGCTGTAGTTGCAGCGTGAGTAGTCTGTGACAGGTTGAATGATGTGGACGCCGTGACTGATGCTTGTGAGAACGGAGCTGACGTTTGTGTGTTAGTTGACGATGGTGATGCTGTGAGTGTGGAAGACTGAGTCGGCGGTGATGCAGTTGTCAGTTCGAGGGAGTGGATGTTGGTCGTGGTGTTGTAGATCCGGTGAATTGGGAATCGGAAGCACTGGTAGTGGCCAGAGAGGACAGTGGTGGTGGTGGTGTGGATGTTGCGTTGGAGGGTGTAATTATTGTCAGTGTAGGAGAAGTTGCTGTAGTTGCAGCGTGAGTAGTCTGTGACAGGTTGAATGATGTGGACGCCGTGACTGATGCTTGTGAGAACGGAGCTGACGTTTGTGTGTTAGTTGACGATGGTGATGCTGTGAGTGTGGAAGACTGAGTCGGCGGTGATGCAGTGTCGTTCGAGGGAGTGGATGTTGGTCGTGGTGTTGTAGATCCGGTGAATTGGGAATCGGAAGCACTGGTAGTGGCCAGAGAGGACAGTGGTGGTGGTGGTGTGGATGTTGCGTTGGAGGGTGTAATTATTGTCAGTGTAGGAGAAGTTGCTGTAGTTGCAGCGTGAGTAGTCTGTGACAGGTTGAATGATGTGGACGCCGTGACTGATGCTTGTGAGAACGGAGCTGACGTTTGTGTGTTAGTTGACGATGGTGATGCTGTGAGTGTGGAAGACTGAGTCGGCGGTGATGCAGTTGTCGTTCGAGGGAGTGGATGTTGGTCGTGGTGTTGTAGATCCGGTGAATTGGGAATCGGAAGCACTGGTAGTGGCCAGAGAGGACAGTGGTGGTGGTGGTGTGGATGTTGCGTTGGAGGGTGTAATTATTGTCAGTGTAGGAGAAGTTGCTGTAGTTGCAGCGTGAGTAGTCTGTGACAGGTTGAATGATGTGGACGCCGTGACTGATGCTTGTGAGAACGGAGCTGACGTTTGTGTGTTAGTTGACGATGGTGATGCTGTGAGTGTGGAAGACTGAGTCGGCGGTGATGCAGTGTCGTTCGAGGGAGTGGATGTTGGTCGTGGTGTTGTAGATCCGGTGAATTGGGAATCGGAAGCACTGGTAGTGGCCAGAGAGGACAGTGGTGGTGGTGGTGTGGATGTTGCGTTGGAGGGTGTAATTATTGTCAGTGTAGGAGAAGTTGCTGTAGTTGCAGCGTGAGTAGTCTGTGACAGGTTGAATGATGTGGACGCCGTGACTGATGCTTGTGAGAACGGAGCTGACGTTTGTGTGTTAGTTGACGATGGTGATGCTGTGAGTGTGGAAGACTGAGTCGGCGGTGATGCAGTTGTCGTTCGAGGGAGTGGATGTTGGTCGTGGTGTTGTAGATCCGGTGAATTGGGAATCGGAAGCACTGGTAGTGGCCAGAGAGGACAGTGGTGGTGGTGGTGTGGATGTTGCGTTGGAGGGTGTAATTATTGTCAGTGTAGGAGAAGTTGCTGTAGTTGCAGCGTGAGTAGTCTGTGACAGGTTGAATGATGTGGACGCCGTGACTGATGCTTGTGAGAACGGAGCTGACGTTTGTGTGTTAGTTGACGATGGTGATGCTGTGAGTGTGGAAGACTGAGTCGGCGGTGATGCAGTTGTCGTTCGAGGGAGTGGATGTTGGTCGTGGTGTTGTAGATCCGGTGAATTGGGAATCGGAAGCACTGGTAGTGGCCAGAGAGGACAGTGGTGGTGGTGGTGTGGATGTTGCGTTGGAGGGTGTAATTATTGTCAGTGTAGGAGAAGTTGCTGTAGTTGCAGCGTGAGTAGTCTGTGACAGGTTGAATGATGTGGACGCCGTGACTGATGCTTGTGAGAACGGAGCTGACGTTTGTGTGTTAGTTGACGATGGTGATGCTGTGAGTGTGGAAGACTGAGTCGGCGGTGATGCAGTGTCGTTCGAGGGAGTGGATGTTGGTCGTGGTGTTGTAGATCCGGTGAATTGGGAATCGGAAGCACTGGTAGTGGCCAGAGAGGACAGTGGTGGTGGTGGTGTGGATGTTGCGTTGGAGGGTGTAATTATTGTCAGTGTAGGAGAAGTTGCTGTAGTTGCAGCGTGAGTAGTCTGTGACAGGTTGAATGATGTGGACGCCGTGACTGATGCTTGTGAGAACGGAGCTGACGTTTGTGTGTTAGTTGACGATGGTGATGCTGTGAGTGTGGAAGACTGAGTCGGCGGTGATGCAGTGTCGTTCGAGGGAGTGGATGTTGGTCGTGGTGTTGTAGATCCGGTGAATTGGGAATCGGAAGCACTGGTAGTGGCCAGAGAGGACAGTGGTGGTGGTGGTGTGGATGTTGCGTTGGAGGGTGTAATTATTGTCAGTGTAGGAGAAGTTGCTGTAGTTGCAGCGTGAGTAGTCTGTGACAGGTTGAATGATGTGGACGCCGTGACTGATGCTTGTGAGAACGGAGCTGACGTTTGTGTGTTAGTTGACGATGGTGATGCTGTGAGTGTGGAAGACTGAGTCGGCGGTGATGCAGTGTCGTTCGAGGGAGTGGATGTTGGTCGTGGTGTTGTAGATCCGGTGAATTGGGAATCGGAAGCACTGGTAGTGGCCAGAGAGGACAGTGGTGGTGGTGGTGTGGATGTTGCGTTGGAGGGTGTAATTATTGTCAGTGTAGGAGAAGTTGCTGTAGTTGCAGCGTGAGTAGTCTGTGACAGGTTGAATGATGTGGACGCCGTGACTGATGCTTGTGAGAACGGAGCTGACGTTTGTGTGTTAGTTGACGATGGTGATGCTGTGAGTGTGGAAGACTGAGTCGGCGGTGATGCAGTGTCGTTCGAGGGAGTGGATGTTGGTCGTGGTGTTGTAGATCCGGTGAATTGGGAATCGGAAGCACTGGTAGTGGCCAGAGAGGACAGTGGTGGTGGTGGTGTGGATGTTGCGTTGGAGGGTGTAATTATTGTCAGTGTAGGAGAAGTTGCTGTAGTTGCAGCGTGAGTAGTCTGTGACAGGTTGAATGATGTGGACGCCGTGACTGATGCTTGTGAGAACGGAGCTGACGTTTGTGTGTTAGTTGACGATGGTGATGCTGTGAGTGTGGAAGACTGAGTCGGCGGTGATGCAGTGTCGTTCGAGGGAGTGGATGTTGGTCGTGGTGTTGTAGATCCGGTGAATTGGGAATCGGAAGCATTGGTAGTGGCCAGAGAGGACAGTGGTGGTGGTGGTGTGGATGTTGCGTTGGAGGGTGTAATTATTGTCAGTGTAGGAGAAGTTGCTGTAGTTGCAGCGTGAGTAGTCTGTGACAGGTTGAATGATGTGGACGCCGTGACTGATGCTTGTGAGAACGGAGCTGACGTTTGTGTGTTAGTTGACGATGGTGATGCTGTGAGTGTGGAAGACTGAGTCGGCGGTGATGCAGTGTCGTTCGAGGGAGTGGATGTTGGTCGTGGTGTTGTAGATCCGGTGAATTGGGAATCGGAAGCACTGGTAGTGGCCAGAGAGGACAGTGGTGGTGGTGGTGTGGATGTTGCGTTGGAGGGTGTAATTATTGTCAGTGTAGGAGAAGTTGCTGTAGTTGCAGCGTGAGTAGTCTGTGACAGGTTGAATGATGTGGACGCCGTGACTGATGCTTGTGAGAACGGAGCTGACGTTTGTGTGTTAGTTGACGATGGTGATGCTGTGAGTGTGGAAGACTGAGTCGGCGGTGATGCAGTGTCGTTCGAGGGAGTGGATGTTGGTCGTGGTGTTGTAGATCCGGTGAATTGGGAATCGGAAGCATTGGTAGTGGCCAGAGAGGACAGTGGTGGTGGTGGTGTGGATGTTGCGTTGGAGGGTGTAATTATTGTCAGTGTAGGAGAAGTTGCTGTAGTTGCAGCGTGAGTAGTCTGTGACAGGTTGAATGATGTGGACGCCGTGACTGATGCTTGTGAGAACGGAGCTGACGTTTGTGTGTTAGTTGACGATGGTGATGCTGTGAGTGTGGAAGACTGAGTCGGCGGTGATGCAGTGTCGTTCGAGGGAGTGGATGTTGGTCGTGGTGTTGTAGATCCGGTGAATTGGGAATCGGAAGCACTGGTAGTGGCCAGAGAGGACAGTGGTGGTGGTGGTGTGGATGTTGCGTTGGAGGGTGTAATTATTGTCAGTGTAGGAGAAGTTGCTGTAGTTGCAGCGTGAGTAGTCTGTGACAGGTTGAATGATGTGGACGCCGTGACTGATGCTTGTGAGAACGGAGCTGACGTTTGTGTGTTAGTTGACGATGGTGATGCTGTGAGTGTGGAAGACTGAGTCGGCGGTGATGCAGTGTCGTTCGAGGGAGTGGATGTTGGTCGTGGTGTTGTAGATCCGGTGAATTGGGAATCGGAAGCATTGGTAGTGGCCAGAGAGGACAGTGGTGGTGGTGGTGTGGATGTTGCGTTGGAGGGTGTAATTATTGTCAGTGTAGGAGAAGTTGCTGTAGTTGCAGCGTGAGTAGTCTGTGACAGGTTGAATGATGTGGACGCCGTGACTGATGCTTGTGAGAACGGAGCTGACGTTTGTGTGTTAGTTGACGATGGTGATGCTGTGAGTGTGGAAGACTGAGTCGGCGGTGATGCAGTGTCGTTCGAGGGAGTGGATGTTGGTCGTGGTGTTGTAGATCCGGTGAATTGGGAATCGGAAGCACTGGTAGTGGCCAGAGAGGACAGTGGTGGTGGTGTGGATGTTGCGTTGGAGGGTGTAATTATTGTCAGTGTAGGAGAAGTTGCTGTCACTTGATTATTTGTTGTGCCACTTGTGTTTTCAGTTGTTGGATTCTGTGTTATTTTAGTCGTTACATTCAATAAACCGGTCAGTTCTTCCGCTATGATACCTATTGTGTTATTTATATTTGATATTTTCGTTGTCGTCGTTATTTCTCTTATGTCCGTTAACTTAATCGTCGCTGTCATAGATTCTGTCGTTTTCTGTTCTTCTGTTGGATGCAACAAATAAGATAATTAATAATAATTTTATTTAGAAATCTTTCATTTGTTTTGGAGACTTTCTCCTTCCAATCGATTTATCTTTTTCTCTTTTTCAATCCTTTCATAGTTTTTTTTTAAATTTTCACTTTCTCGTTATATTTTTTTCTCAGTTTCGGATTTGTTTTAATGTGTCGTTCAATTTTCAATAGATTTGTGGTTTATTTAATTGTAGTTCTCTTGTTTTTTCGGGGGACCTAAGTATTTTATTTTCCATCTGTCCATTTTTATTCTACTTACTAACTCATAAATGTCTGTACTTTGTACGATATTTACGTTGTGTAGGAAATCGATTAGATTTACAAAATTAATCGATATTACTGATATCTTTATCTTGCTTATGTTTCTAGATTATTCATTCCGTCTTTTGATTGCTGTCAGTATCTTTTCTTTAACGTTTACACTTTCGTCTATGTTATTAAGCTATTATTATTATTTGTTATCTGACTGTCAAATGTTTTATAAGAATGTTTTAATGAGTTTATGCTACTTAAATCATGTGCAAGTTATTTGAATGTAAAATAATTTATCTATTATTGAAAATTTAAACTTGCTAAAGGTTGATCCTAAAAGATCAACGGCCTTTGGGGTTAGCAGTAGCCTTATAAAGGCTACAGTTGTGATGTGCGCTACCTGTAAGTAGTATATGACGCAAGTGTAAACGTAATATCTGGCAGCAGAAGATGGGGGAAGATCAAGAAAGGAAGAGTGGGAACACAATGGAATTTGTATGAAACGCATGAATAGTGAAATGTCAGACAATGGATTGATGATTGATTGAAGATTTGCAAATTAGCCGTTTACGATATGGTTTTCCTATTTTACTGAGTAACTCTGTAATTTTCGTTAAATAAAATTCGGTTTCCCTCACCTGTGTTCTCCTTCACTACACAGGCAGTGCGTCCGTATAGGAAATACACTGTATACAGCACAGTAAGCATAAACTAAACCACACATCATGGAAAAACTCTACAAGATTGGGAAACCTTCACTTATCTGGGCAGCATCATGCATAAATAAGGTGAATCTGATGCAGACATGAAAGTACCGATTGATAAAGCAAGGAGTGTTATTTCTAAAAGCAAAATAGTGTCTTAAAATCAAGAAAATTGTTTGTCAACCAAAACCAATACAACTGTCATAATAGTTTTTGAAATCTTCAGTGCCAAGGGAAGAGATACACCAAGGAACACATTCTTCGGGAAATTAGAGGCAAATATGAAAAAAAATTGACTGGCATTTGAGCAGAACTGGAAAAGAAGGCTCAGGACAGGTTTGATTAGGAGATCATCGATTGTATTATTAACCCAGATTAATAGGGGTTAACAGTGAATTGCAGCATCTTTATTTCGTCTGTAGCGAAATGTATCTGAATTGCAGAGTAATTACTCACTGCGAGTTTCGGAACCCACCACACTCGATCAACATATCAGTTTGTTATTTTAAATATAGAACTTAGTAAGTACATACATCAATTCAACTTACCATACCACATTAACAAAGACAGATTGAATATTCATTTCAAATGCCATAGTGTTATAGGTACTAGAAGTATGAAGATTAAGATTTGAAAGTATTATTCAAGGACAGTAATCCAGTGAAATAAATTTGAGAAGAGAAAAATAAAGTTTATGAAAAATTCTGCTGACCAAGATTGATCCTCTAATATGCAGACGGATAGCTTGTCTATGCCATAAGTGACGCAAGTTAGCAAAAGCCAGTCAGCACTGAGATTTCGTCATACACCAGGCCGTCAGCACTGATGAGACTCTCGAAATAATAATGGCGGTCAACACTCTAAACTACTTCTCTCCCTATCACTAACATGTGCTATTGCAAGCCAACCCTGAAGTAACATTTCGCATTTGGATTAGGAGAGCCACATCTCTAATATGCTTGCCTTGTTGCTTAGAGTGTTCAGAAGACTCTGCAGTTCGTCAGCGTCTTCGCCAAGTAGAACTATGTCATCGGTACATTCTAAGTCAACAAGTGAATTTACTAGTAGAAGGTCAACTCCTGAAAATTCAGCGAATAAAGTGTCATACCGAAAACCTTATCCATGACAAAGTTGAATAATAATGGGTAAAGTGGACAGCACTGGGGGTAGCCAGTTCCGAAGACAGTTTGCTATAAGCTCTCAATAAGCCAGTAGTGTTAGAGTAGAGAGCCTTTATACTTTAATACTACTCCTCTTAGTGACAGACACTGCCACAGGACCTCTCGACAGGTAGATGCAAATGCCTCCTTAAAGTCGAGGAATAAAAATTTTATTGAACGCTTTCAATCTAAATGAAAACATCTCGCATTTAAAGGATCAGTAATTTTACAGTACATACTTTCCTTTCGTTCATAAACTCTATATAACTCCTACTCTAACCCTTCTTGGGTTACCACCAGTCCAAAGCTAGTATAAAGGATGAGATTTGTGCATTGGGTTAACCACCTCATGCAGAAAAAACAAGCTGGCTAAAAACACATCGGACTCCTGGTGGACGAAAAATACTAGAATCAGGATAGATGATGTTATGAAGATGATGTCATGAAGAAGAAAGTTCCTCATATACACAAGGCGTTGCATTGATGGTGTTCAAAAAAGCATGAAAAGTACTGATATGATGGGAATATCATGTACGGAGGTTATCAAAGCCTCCTTGAAAACAAAGTTAGAAAGGACTAACGACATCAATGAGGAAATTATAGATCAATTCTATGAGAAGCTGCAATCAATCGTCGAGCAATGCCCAACATAGGACTTGACGATTCTCATAAGGGAACTAAATGTCAAGCTATAAATGAACAACATTGGCTAGGGCTACATCATGAAACGACATGGACTGGGAGAAAGGTAGGAAAACGGTGAAAAATTTGCACGCCTATGTGCCTTCAACAAACTGATCATAGACGGCACCATATTCTCACACAGATGCATAAACAAAGCGATATTGTTTCACAAAATATCACTAAAATGAGCCAACTCTACCATATCTGCATCAATAGAAAGTTCAGAAGGACTATGAAGGACGTAAGAACGAAGTGTAGAGCTGATACAGAGTCAGATCACCACTCAAAGAGGGTCAAAATTAAACTGAAACTTAGAAAAGTACTGAACAACTGGTCAAACAGCATCACAAAACTTTATTACAGCGTTTCTTCGGAACAATGGAATACTTCAATAATTAGAGATATACCCTAACAATAGGTTTCAAGTCTTTCAAAATCTACTAAATATATAGGGAGCTACCACAAAGAAAAACTGGGGAGGGATCAAAGAAGCCATAACCTTAACATGTCATGAGGTTCTGTGTCACAAAGGAATGGATTTTTGAGGATATTCTGTATAAGATTCAAGAAAAGAAAAACATGAAGGCATCAATCAATATCAACCGAACAAAAACAGGGAAATTGAAGGCACACAAAAGAAAACAAGAAAATGAAGGGGGTCATCTTAGCTGACAAACGTAAATACGTGGACGATCTGGCCATTATAGCATAAAAAGCCAGAGGAAAAGAAATCTGAAGCAACTCTATGATACAGCAAAGAAGTTTGCTGGATTTGAAGTCGATGTAAAGACATGGATAAGCAAATCAAGAGTTGAATTCTTTCAATTGAAGCTTAAACTTAAAACATCTATGAACCAACACCGAAGTCAGGATTTTCAATACAAACATCAAGACAGTTCCACTATATAAAGCGGAAATATAGTTGAACACGATAGCTGTTATCCACAAGATACAGGTGTTGAATAACAGTTGTCTAGGCAAAATGATAAGCAGTATTTTTTTTGGATACCTCTGTGAAAGAGATGAAACCAGATTCCATTTGAGGATTAAATCATGAAGAAGCGCTGGAGAAAGAAAGGACAAACATTCTTGAAAACAAACAAGTGTGGCAAAGCGAAATCACACACATTGAATACACTAAACCGAATGTACAGAGCAAGACCAAAGATGAAAAGAGACACCGAGAATTGGAAGAGGACATGAAATGAATGAACAGCGATAGGTTAGAACTGGAAAGGTGGGCCTAGGACGCAGTATGCTGGAGAATACCAGTCAGCGGCCTATAGTCCATTGAGCGTAACAGGTAAGTAAGAAATAAATTCTACACGAATACTGGTGATTCGATAAATACAGGTTATAATTTGAAAATTAGAGGAATGTATTTTTCAGAAAAGCAGATAACCAATTCTATACTTACTAAAATAATGAAGGGAAAACATTAGTAATCAGAGTAATGAGGAACAGGTGGAAGATACATTACTAAATACACAAACTGAATTCAGGAATTACTAGGTAAAACGTTATTAAATTAATATAAAACAAACAGGATTTATTGAGTAGATAAACTAGAGATTATGAAGCAGAGAGAAAGCTGCGTACAATGAAAACTATCGACAGAATTCACAGAGGAAAGCTCCGAAACTGGAAAACCCACACCAGAGTAAACAAAAATATCAAGAATAAATATAAAAACCAGTGAAAATAAAAGAACATACCAGAGAGAGTAGGAAGAATTTGGGTAATTCCGATCGCATTAATGGTAGATGAAGCGGTGGATAGAGAGACAGTGGATAGCGTTGGACCAGCAGTTGCGGTGGAGTTGCTGGGCGTTGTGGTCACAGTGCCAGTTGAGAGTGGTGTTGACTGAGACGCTGTGGTGACAGATGTGGTTGTTGTGGCGAGTGAATCAGTAGTGATTGTGGATGGTAGAGTGGTAGTGTTCTGTGTAGCCGGTGTTGCAGTGATGCTGGTGGGTGTGGTTGAGGTGTTTGCTGCGACGGAGGGTGTTGTGGAGAGTGGTGCAGTTGTGGATAGTGTGATGATGGTTGCGTTCGGATTGATGGTGGTTGATGCGGTGGATGGAGAGACAGTGGATAGTGTTGGACCAGCAGTTGCGGTGGAGTTGCTGGGCGTTGTGGTCACAGTGCCAGTTGAGAGTGGTGTTGACTGAGACGCTGTGGTGACAGATGTGGTTGTTGTGGCGAGTGAATCAGTAGTGATTGTGGATGGTAGAGTGGTAGTGTTCTGTGTAGCCGGTGTTGCAGTGATGCTGGTGGGTGTGGTTGAGGAGTTTGCTGCGACGGAGGGTGTTGTGGAGAGTGGTGCAGTTGTGGATAGTGTGATGATGGTTGCGTTCGGATTGATGGTGGTTGATGCGGTGGATGGAGAGACAGTGGATAGTGTTGGACCAGCAGTTGCGGTGGAGTTGCTGGGCGTTGTGGTCACAGTGCCAGTTGAGAGTGGTGTTGACTGAGACGCTGTGGTGACAGATGTGGTTGTTGTGGCGAGTGAATCAGTAGTGATTGTGGATGGTAGAGTGGTAGTGTTCTGTGTAGCCGGTGTTGCAGTGATGCTGGTGGGTGTGGTTGAGGAGTTTGCTGCGACGGAGGGTGTTGTGGAGAGTGGTGCAGTTGTGGATAGTGTGATGATGGTTGCGTTCGGATTGATGGTGGTTGATGCGGTGGATGGAGAGACAGTGGATAGTGTTGGACCAGCAGTTGCGGTGGAGTTGCTGGGCGTTGTGGTCACAGTGCCAGTTGAGAGTGGTGTTGACTGAGACGCTGTGGTGACAGATGTGGTTGTTGTGGCGAGTGAATCAGTAGTGATTGTGGATGGTAGAGTGGTAGTGTTCTGTGTAGCCGGTGTTGCAGTGATGCTGGTGGGTGTGGTTGAGGTGTTTGCTGCGACGGAGGGTGTTGTGGAGAGTGGTGCAGTTGTGGATAGTGTGATGATGGTTGCGTTCGGATTGATGGTGGTTGATGCGGTGGATGGAGAGACAGTGGATAGTGTTGGAGCAGCAGTTGCGGTGGAGTTGCTGGGCGTTGTGGTCACAGTGCCAGTTGAGAGTGGTGTTGACTGAGACGCTGTGGTGACAGATGTGGTTGTTGTGGCGAGTGAATCAGTAGTGATTGTGGATGGTAGAGTGGTAGTGTTCTGTGTAGCCGGTGTTGCAGTGATGCTGGTGGGTGTGGTTGAGGTGTTTGCTGCGACGGAGGGTGTTGTGGAGAGTGGTGCAGTTGTGGATAGTGTGATGATGGTTGCGTTCGGATTGATGGTGGTTGATGCGGTGGATGGAGAGACAGTGGATAGTGTTGGACCAGCAGTTGCGGTGGAGTTGCTGGGCGTTGTGGTCACAGTGCCAGTTGAGAGTGGTGTTGACTGAGACGCTGTGGTGACAGATGTGGTTGTTGTGGCGAGTGAATCAGTAGTGATTGTGGATGGTAGAGTGGTAGTGTTCTGTGTAGCCGGTGTTGCAGTGATGCTGGTGGGTGTGGTTGAGGAGTTTGCTGCGACGGAGGGTGTTGTGGAGAGTGGTGCAGTTGTGGATAGTGTGATGATGGTTGCGTTCGGATTGATGGTGGTTGATGCGGTGGATGGAGAGACAGTGGATAGTGTTGGACCAGCAGTTGCGGTGGAGTTGCTGGGCGTTGTGGTCACAGTGCCAGTTGAGAGTGGTGTTGACTGAGACGCTGTGGTGACAGATGTGGTTGTTGTGGCGAGTGAATCAGTAGTGATTGTGGATGGTAGAGTGGTAGTGTTCTGTGTAGCCGGTGTTGCAGTGATGCTGGTGGGTGTGGTTGAGGAGTTTGCTGCGACGGAGGGTGTTGTGGAGAGTGGTGCAGTTGTGGATAGTGTGATGATGGTTGCGTTCGGATTGATGGTGGTTGATGCGGTGGATGGAGAGACAGTGGATAGTGTTGGACCAGCAGTTGCGGTGGAGTTGCTGGGCGTTGTGGTCACAGTGCCAGTTGAGAGTGGTGTTGACTGAGACGCTGTGGTGACAGATGTGGTTGTTGTGGCGAGTGAATCAGTAGTGATTGTGGATGGTAGAGTGGTAGTGTTCTGTGTAGCCGGTGTTGCAGTGATGCTGGTGGGTGTGGTTGAGGTGTTTGCTGCGACGGAGGGTGTTGTGGAGAGTGGTGCAGTTGTGGATAGTGTGATGATGGTTGCGTTCGGATTGATGGTGGTTGATGCGGTGGATGGAGAGACAGTGGATAGTGTTGGACCAGCAGTTGCGGTGGAGTTGCTGGGCGTTGTGGTCACAGTGCCAGTTGAGAGTGGTGTTGACTGAGACGCTGTGGTGACAGATGTGGTTGTTGTGGCGAGTGAATCAGTAGTGATTGTGGATGGTAGAGTGGTAGTGTTCTGTGTAGCCGGTGTTGCAGTGATGCTGGTGGGTGTGGTTGAGGAGTTTGCTGCGACGGAGGGTGTTGTGGAGAGTGGTGCAGTTGTGGATAGTGTGATGATGGTTGCGTTCGGATTGATGGTGGTTGATGCGGTGGATGGAGAGACAGTGGATAGTGTTGGACCAGCAGTTGCGGTGGAGTTGCTGGGCGTTGTGGTCACAGTGCCAGTTGAGAGTGGTGTTGACTGAGACGCTGTGGTGACAGATGTGGTTGTTGTGGCGAGTGAATCAGTAGTGATTGTGGATGGTAGAGTGGTAGTGTTCTGTGTAGCCGGTGTTGCAGTGATGCTGGTGGGTGTGGTTGAGGTGTTTGCTGCGACGGAGGGTGTTGTGGAGAGTGGTGCAGTTGTGGATAGTGTGATGATGGTTGCGTTCGGATTGATGGTGGTTGATGCGGTGGATGGAGAGACAGTGGATAGTGTTGGACCAGCAGTTGCGGTGGAGTTGCTGGGCGTTGTGGTCACAGTGCCAGTTGAGAGTGGTGTTGACTGAGACGCTGTGGTGACAGATGTGGTTGTTGTGGCGAGTGAATCAGTAGTGATTGTGGATGGTAGAGTGGTAGTGTTCTGTGTAGCCGGTGTTGCAGTGATGCTGGTGGGTGTGGTTGAGGATGTTTGCTGCGACGGAGGGTGTTGTGGAGAGTGGTGCAGTTGTGGATAGTGTGATGATGGTTGCGTTCGGATTGATGGTGGTTGATGCGGTGGATGGAGAGACAGTGGATAGTGTTGGACCAGCAGTTGCGGTGGAGTTGCTGGGCGTTGTGGTCACAGTGCCAGTTGAGAGTGGTGTTGACTGAGACGCTGTGGTGACAGATGTGGTTGTTGTGGCGAGTGAATCAGTAGTGATTGTGGATGGTAGAGTGGTAGTGTTCTGTGTAGCCGGTGTTGCAGTGATGCTGGTGGGTGTGGTTGAGGATTTTTGCTGCGACGGAGGGTGTTGTGGAGAGTGGTGCAGTTGTGGATAGTGTGATGATGGTTGCGTTCGGATTGATGGTGGTTGATGCGGTGGATGGAGAGACAGTGGATAGTGTTGGACCAGCAGTTGCGGTGGAGTTGCTGGGCGTTGTGGTCACAGTGCCAGTTGAGAGTGGTGTTGACTGAGACGCTGTGGTGACAGATGTGGTTGTTGTGGCGAGTGAATCAGTAGTGATTGTGGATGGTAGAGTGGTAGTGTTCTGTGTAGCCGGTGTTGCAGTGATGCTGGTGGGTGTGGTTGAGGAGTTTGCTGCGACGGAGGGTGTTGTGGAGAGTGGTGCAGTTGTGGATAGTGTGATGATGGTTGCGTTCGGATTGATGGTGGTTGATGCGGTGGATGGAGAGACAGTGGATAGTGTTGGACCAGCAGTTGCGGTGGAGTTGCTGGGCGTTGTGGTCACAGTGCCAGTTGAGAGTGGTGTTGACTGAGACGCTGTGGTGACAGATGTGGTTGTTGTGGCGAGTGAATCAGTAGTGATTGTGGATGGTAGAGTGGTAGTGTTCTGTGTAGCCGGTGTTGCAGTGATGCTGGTGGGTGTGGTTGAGGATGTTTGCTGCGACGGAGGGTGTTGTGGAGAGTGGTGCAGTTGTGGATAGTGTGATGATGGTTGCGTTCGGATTGATGGTGGTTGATGCGGTGGATGGAGAGACAGTGGATAGTGTTGGACCAGCAGTTGCGGTGGAGTTGCTGGGCGTTGTGGTCACAGTGCCAGTTGAGAGTGGTGTTGACTGAGACGCTGTGGTGACAGATGTGGTTGTTGTGGCGAGTGAATCAGTAGTGATTGTGGATGGTAGAGTGGTAGTGTTCTGTGTAGCCGGTGTTGCAGTGATGCTGGTGGGTGTGGTTGAGGAGTTTGCTGCGACGGAGGGTGTTGTGGAGAGTGGTGCAGTTGTGGATAGTGTGATGATGGTTGCGTTCGGATTGATGGTGGTTGATGCGGTGGATGGAGAGACAGTGGATAGTGTTGGACCAGCAGTTGCGGTGGAGTTGCTGGGCGTTGTGGTCACAGTGCCAGTTGAGAGTGGTGTTGACTGAGACGCTGTGGTGACAGATGTGGTTGTTGTGGCGAGTGAATCAGTAGTGATTGTGGATGGTAGAGTGGTAGTGTTCTGTGTAGCCGGTGTTGCAGTGATGCTGGTGGGTGTGGTTGAGGAGTTTGCTGCGACGGAGGGTGTTGTGGAGAGTGGTGCAGTTGTGGATAGTGTGATGATGGTTGCGTTCGGATTGATGGTGGTTGATGCGGTGGATGGAGAGACAGTGGATAGTGTTGGACCAGCAGTTGCGGTGGAGTTGCTGGGCGTTGTGGTCACAGTGCCAGTTGAGAGTGGTGTTGACTGAGACGCTGTGGTGACAGATGTGGTTGTTGTGGCGAGTGAATCAGTAGTGATTGTGGATGGTAGAGTGGTAGTGTTCTGTGTAGCCGGTGTTGCAGTGATGCTGGTGGGTGTGGTTGAGGTGTTTGCTGCGACGGAGGGTGTTGTGGAGAGTGGTGCAGTTGTGGATAGTGTGATGATGGTTGCGTTCGGATTGATGGTGGTTGATGCGGTGGATGGAGAGACAGTGGATAGTGTTGGACCAGCAGTTGCGGTGGAGTTGCTGGGCGTTGTGGTCACAGTGCCAGTTGAGAGTGGTGTTGACTGAGACGCTGTGGTGACAGATGTGGTTGTTGTGGCGAGTGAATCAGTAGTGATTGTGGATGGTAGAGTGGTAGTGTTCTGTGTAGCCGGTGTTGCAGTGATGCTGGTGGGTGTGGTTGAGGAGTTTGCTGCGACGGAGGGTGTTGTGGAGAGTGGTGCAGTTGTGGATAGTGTGATGATGGTTGCGTTCGGATTGATGGTGGTTGATGCGGTGGATGGAGAGACAGTGGATAGTGTTGGACCAGCAGTTGCGGTGGAGTTGCTGGGCGTTGTGGTCACAGTGCCAGTTGAGAGTGGTGTTGACTGAGACGCTGTGGTGACAGATGTGGTTGTTGTGGCGAGTGAATCAGTAGTGATTGTGGATGGTAGAGTGGTAGTGTTCTGTGTAGCCGGTGTTGCAGTGATGCTGGTGGGTGTGGTTGAGGAGTTTGCTGCGACGGAGGGTGTTGTGGAGAGTGGTGCAGTTGTGGATAGTGTGATGATGGTTGCGTTCGGATTGATGGTGGTTGATGCGGTGGATGGAGAGACAGTGGATAGTGTTGGACCAGCAGTTGCGGTGGAGTTGCTGGGCGTTGTGGTCACAGTGCCAGTTGAGAGTGGTGTTGACTGAGACGCTGTGGTGACAGATGTGGTTGTTGTGGCGAGTGAATCAGTAGTGATTGTGGATGGTAGAGTGGTAGTGTTCTGTGTAGCCGGTGTTGCAGTGATGCTGGTGGGTGTGGTTGAGGAGTTTGCTGCGACGGAGGGTGTTGTGGAGAGTGGTGCAGTTGTGGATAGTGTGATGATGGTTGCGTTCGGATTGATGGTGGTTGATGCGGTGGATGGAGAGACAGTGGATAGTGTTGGACCAGCAGTTGCGGTGGAGTTGCTGGGCGTTGTGGTCACAGTGCCAGTTGAGAGTGGTGTTGACTGAGACGCTGTGGTGACAGATGTGGTTGTTGTGGCGAGTGAATCAGTAGTGATTGTGGATGGTAGAGTGGTAGTGTTCTGTGTAGCCGGTGTTGCAGTGATGCTGGTGGGTGTGGTTGAGGAGTTTGCTGCGACGGAGGGTGTTGTGGAGAGTGGTGCAGTTGTGGATAGTGTGATGATGGTTGCGTTCGGATTGATGGTGGTTGATGCGGTGGATGGAGAGACAGTGGATAGTGTTGGACCAGCAGTTGCGGTGGAGTTGCTGGGCGTTGTGGTCACAGTGCCAGTTGAGAGTGGTGTTGACTGAGACGCTGTGGTGACAGATGTGGTTGTTGTGGCGAGTGAATCAGTAGTGATTGTGGATGGTAGAGTGGTAGTGTTCTGTGTAGCCGGTGTTGCAGTGATGCTGGTGGGTGTGGTTGAGGAGTTTGCTGCGACGGAGGGTGTTGTGGAGAGTGGTGCAGTTGTGGATAGTGTGATGATGGTTGCGTTCGGATTGATGGTGGTTGATGCGGTGGATGGAGAGACAGTGGATAGTGTTGGACCAGCAGTTGCGGTGGAGTTGCTGGGCGTTGTGGTCACAGTGCCAGTTGAGAGTGGTGTTGACTGAGACGCTGTGGTGACAGATGTGGTTGTTGTGGCGAGTGAATCAGTAGTGATTGTGGATGGTAGAGTGGTAGTGTTCTGTGTAGCCGGTGTTGCAGTGATGCTGGTGGGTGTGGTTGAGGAGTTTGCTGCGACGGAGGGTGTTGTGGAGAGTGGTGCAGTTGTGGATAGTGTGATGATGGTTGCGTTCGGATTGATGGTGGTTGATGCGGTGGATGGAGAGACAGTGGATAGTGTTGGACCAGCAGTTGCGGTGGAGTTGCTGGGCGTTGTGGTCACAGTGCCAGTTGAGAGTGGTGTTGACTGAGACGCTGTGGTGACAGATGTGGTTGTTGTGGCGAGTGAATCAGTAGTGATTGTGGATGGTAGAGTGGTAGTGTTCTGTGTAGCCGGTGTTGCAGTGATGCTGGTGGGTGTGGTTGAGGAGTTTGCTGCGACGGAGGGTGTTGTGGAGAGTGGTGCAGTTGTGGATAGTGTGATGATGGTTGCGTTCGGATTGATGGTGGTTGATGCGGTGGATGGAGAGACAGTGAATAATGTTGCACCTGCATTTGTCGATGTCACTTGGTCAGTAGTGATTGTTGGTTCTACAAACGAATGATATATTTTTAATTTTTTTATTTTACGTTTTTATTTTAACATTGTCTATACTTTTTTCTCACCTTTTTATTTTATCCTTTTTGCATGCCTTTTCCGCTGTTTTCGGTCGTTTGGATTTTTTATCTCAAATAATTTTTTTACTCTTTATATTGTTTAGTTATAAATTCCATTTCACGCACTGTTGTTTTATTTGCATATAATTTCTGTTTTATTGCATTTAATTGCTACAGTAAAGTTATTTTTTGTCGTTTTTTTTCACTACTTACACTAGATATGTAAATTTAATTTCCTAAACAGTGTCGATTAGAATAATTTGTCAATTGAGTTTAAAATTTTCGAACTGAAATTAGTGCATTTTTGTCGCGTAAAATTTTGATTACTTATTTTATAAATTTTCCGAAGATTTTCATCATTTGTTGTGTTGAAATCCTAAATTCACTATTTTCTTTTACTGAGGTGAATAGTCACTAGCATTTTGCATTACCGGGTTGTGAACATTGGTAAAATACATAATTTTGAAACCAAGAATCGATCAACGTTAGACCACCATTAGATGCTTGGGACACTGGATGGCCGTTTCGTGCTGGTGTGGGACTCGTCAGCAGTGTGCATCCCTGACTCCTGCGCCCCGCAGTATTCGAACCCAGGACCTTTGATATTGTGCGCAAACGCCCAACCATCGGGCCACTGAGTCGGTATCTAACTTGCATTTTCCCATTTAAGAGTTCATCATTCAATTCTATACGGCCTGCATTACAGAGTTAATCTACACTCTGACAATCGAACATTCTATAATTAACTTCAAACTTTATCATTACGAGATCTATTTTTACTAATGTGTTTAAATAATTACTTGATAATGCTCTAGGTTGACTATCAATTCACTTTAATTAGTTTGTTAGTTAGACCTGCAATTGGTCATTCTGTGAGGCCTGTCTCAATACCGACAATCTATCTCGGGCATCATGCCTATAGACCAGATCAGTTTGAGATCGATTGCAATGTTAAACATCAATACAGTTATCCAAACAAACACTGAAATCATAAATCAATCATTGTTAGATTATCACATTACAAACATGGTAGCATTGGATGACGGTCATTTCGTCTTAGTATGTGACTCATCCGTGGCAGTGTACATTTACGACTGAAGGTCCTAAGCTTGATTCAAACGAGTAATGTTCGTGGATACACATTGTCGCTGCTGATGAGTCCCATATTAGGACGAAATAGCCGTCATCCAGTGATTTCAGGTTTCTTATGTTGCGGTCTAACAGTGACTTATTCACTATTCTAACGTAAATCAACGATTTGTTCAACTTTACTATTAAAGTTTTATTTCACGTCTTATTTATTTTATCGAGCGCTATTTTTGGTTGCATTTTAGCACTTGTTTCCTCTGATTTTGCTTTCTTTGATCATTTAAAATTAAACTTTCTCAACGTTATTGTGCTTGATAACTGTATCACTGGATTAAAACATCGTGATTTATTCATCCAGTGAAATTTAGCTTTTTATTGACACATTGTTTTTAAAATGATTTGTTTGAATTAATGAGTTTGTTTGTTTGTTCATTGTTCAATTTTTTTAAATGTTGCGTCCAATTTTTTTAAAAATAATATTTTGATTTTTTTTTAGCTTTTTACTAACTCATTTACTATGTGGTCATCATATATTTCTACCAAGAAGTGGTAATCTAATTTCTATTATTATTGGTTTTGATACTTAATCGTTTCAAGATTCAATTAAAAACATTTTGTTTTTATTTGACCGCATTCACTATTGTTCAATATTTATTGATCGATAAGAAATTGAAACTATTTACCTATTCGATCGAAAAACATGTGTACAAGTTTTATTTTAACATGGAACAAGTTTTATTTACTTTGTGTGAATACACATATTGGCGAATTTTCTCGGGACTGTGTCATTCAAACTGATTGACAAAAATGCTCACATTGATGAACTGATATCGTACTAACTCATGAACCAGAAGATAATAATAATCGATTGCCCATTTTTTTAGACATACTGTTGAGTCGAAGAGATAATGGGACTATAAAGCGTTCTGTTTATAGAAAGCTGACGTGGACTGGACAGTATCTAAATTTTAGCAGTTTTTGTCTACTGCAATATAAGCAAGGTTTGATAAAATGCCTCTTCAATAAGGCACAAAGGATTTGCACCATGGATACATTTGAAGATAATGCAAAATTCTTAACTGAAGCATTGATTTCAAATGGCTATACGCCTAAAGTTCATCAATAGGTGTAGAAATCAGTTAAGACAAAAGCAAGCTTTTCATTCTTCTGAGAAGAAAAAGATTTATATCACTTTACGATTTAGAGGTGAAGCGAATGGTCTAATAATAAGGGAGAGACTAAGAGCAGCTATAAAGAAAACATACAACGCTACTAAACTGATTATCATTGAAACAAAACCAAGACCATGATTTCGCATATACCTAAATGTTGCTCGAATGATTACATCACATCCCATTGCATTTATCAATTTACATGTTTGTATGGACACACATACATAGGGAGGAGTAATCGGACTTTGAAATCAAGGGTTATGGAACATGTACCTAAGTGGCTTCAAAATCAGTTAACGTCAGATGAGCTGATTAACCCCTTACTTATTCTTTTCATATTACGTTAATTTTCTCTCCTTCATTTACAATTATCACCTTATGTCTACTATTTGAACTTTTATTTAATTGACCTTTTATTCATCTTCATATAAAATGCCTTGACAAGTAAATATTTGTGACCAGATTGTTCGAAATGTATAGCGCGCAAATACATCAAATTTTTCAGATCAATTACGTCTTCTCACTGTTCTATCAAAAAGATGTACTGAAAATTGATTTGCATTACGGGGTTGTGAAGATTGTTAAGTTACACATTTTTGAAACCTGTTCGGGTGTAGACAGTAACTACCGAAGACTGTGTATGAGGTTGCGCAACTCCGTGAATTCGATCAAGTTAGACATTAACACCGTTAGATACCGGCTCAGTGGTCTATCGGTTAGTGCGTTCGCGCACAATACCGAAGGTCCTGGATTCGAATCCTGCGGGGTGCAGGAGTCGTGGATACGCACTGCTGAGGAGTCCCATACCAGGACGAAACGGCCTTCCAGTGCTTCCAGGTTTCTAATGGTGGTCTAACATTGATCGGTTCATGGTTTCAAAAATGTGAAAATTGATTGACAAATCTGATTTTTTTGCTGTTTACTTAATCAGTCAGTTGAAAATTCCACTATCCTTTCAAAATCACCAATATTTCATTTGGAAATGAACAATACACTACAAATGTACTAACTTGATTAATTTGTTCAATATACTATAAAAAAGTAAACATGTTTGACAATGACTACCAAATTCTACTATCACTTAAACGTCATGTCTGTGAGACCATCGATTCAGTAAGCCAAAAGTTACAGTTCTTATTAAATACTATCAGTCTGACTTTTTAAAGTACAAATACAGTTTACTGATGAAAGTGAAAATGAAATCAAGATAAATTTTAGCAAAAAGAACGCTTCTTGTCCATTGTTCAATGTTATCTAAAAATTGACTATTGAACGCTTTTATTTTTAAATTGAAATGTAAGTGAAATGATTTGCAGATTAATCAGAGAAAAAAATTAAATATCATCAATGATGACCTTATCAAATAAATACAAATTATGATGAATAATAAATAATTAACTTTAAAAAAAAAAATTAAAACGTTAACTTACGTCCTGCTTGTATATCAAACAATTGTATTGTATCATTTGACACACTACTTGTATTATATGTAGTAATGAATGTATTTGTAAAATCACTTGCATTGATGACATCATTCGATGTGGAATTAATTTGTATAGTTGCATTACCACCAACTACATTGGATGATGAATTGGAGGAGGCAGCTTGTCGTTTTTCCCAAATAATTAATAATTGTCTTGGTGAAAAGATAACATTTATGCAAGCTTTTTGTTTGTTAGCAGTAAGTGGAGCTTTTTGTAAAATTTTCATAATCTGTGAAAGATATTTTTTAAAAAGAAATAGAGTTTAAGATAAGTAAATCATTGAAAATTTATAACTAATGTCATATGTATGTGTATGATCAGTCAGTTTTTTAGCAATTATTCTGTGTCGGTTAGACTACATTTTACTTTTAGTCTGTAATATTGTGCTACTTATTTTTGAATTCAGTAGCTTAAGTGATTTTAAATCATTTTTAGGGTTGATTGGATTAAGGAAGTGGTATACCAATTTCTTAACGCATCCCTTATATTGTTCAATTCCTCCTGTCGCCCTTATTAGGTTATTGCTAGTTTAGAGCCCGGATAAAGAAGGAGAGAGGGTTAGTCATATAATTAGCCACCCCATCCTGTGGAAAACTAACTTGCAAAAACCAACGCTAACTGGAACAAACAGTCTTTATTAATAAAAGTTATGATATACTAGGATGAAAGTAGAATTTCTTCAGAAGCCACGAAACTGATGCCTCATCTGACTGCTCAAGCAAACATTATTATAAGTATTTAGAATGTATTAACAGTGTAAGAGACCGGTATAATCAAGACAGGGCCATACTTGGAATCCTTATAGCCGAAGAGAAGAAAGTGGAAGTTCGGGGAATACATTATGCGGAGAATCGGAGTCTGACATTGTAATAATTAACACAAATCTGATGAAAATGGACTAGATGGTCCAAGACAGAGTAGCTTGTAGTATGCTGGACGGTGGCTCATGCTCCTTTAGGTGTAAAAGATTTCAGAAAGCAAGAAATCACGTATCTTATTCTCGTGTATTCTCAGTTTTCCATGAATTCTTTCAGTGGTGTTCAATATGTTATTAAAAACATTTTCCATCCACGAAAAGTGAGTTAAAGAGCAATCCTATGGGAAATATATTTTCAGTTGAAAGTAAGAATAGATTAGAACACTTGCTATATCGACAGTTCCTCTTAGTTTAGACTCAGCAGTGAGATGTATCAATGACTTTTTTTTAAAAGAGCCAATATTCCGATTATCGTTGACCGTTCAATGTTTGATATAAAGTTGAGTATCTTGTATATACTAAGACAAACCCGGGACCTTCGGTCTTGCGCATGAACGCCAAACCTCTGGACCATTGGGCATCACACCGTTCTGGTTACCCGAAATCGATAGATCATTGAACAGTTTTACAAACCATATTTTTCTTCGATAAAAAGGAATGGGTGTATATCGCGAAAAATCTTTCTTTTCTAAAATATTATACATAACCTAGAACATTGATCAATATCATGAGACAGATATAAAACACCAATTCGTATTACGTTTAGTAGCTGTTTTCTTCCTACTTCACCTCTTAGTCCATAAGTCTGTAAATAAGCCTCCATAGAATTAATTATATTTTCGATCGAATGTCAATACACAGGTTCTGGATAGGGGACAATACGAATGATACAACTGGCAAACGATTACGATTGATAAGTCATACCAAATTAGATAATAGCTCAATGGAGAGCATATAACAAGAAGAATATTATTATGTAATAATCTAGTTATATATTAATTATATAGTAAGATTACTCACAATAATAACCCATTAGTGATTAGTCCTAGGCGTTTTTCTAAGCTTCTTTCGAACACAATCCATGTAAATAATAGTCAAACACATTTAATTACTTAAATGTTAATTAAGTAGTATAAAAATACTGATGCAAAAATTGATGATGGAGGCTAGCGCAAAAACAATAGGAATTATCTGGTGTACACTTGGAATTTAAAAAAAAAAGGACAAGATTCATTATACTTACAATATTACAATATTTTGTTGATAATGTAGCATAGTTTAGTGATGTTTTATCAGCATATGATACATCCCAATCGATTGCAGTATTATTTGATTGATGATAAATTGTTGAATCAATCCAATAATTTGTTGAGACTAAAAGTTTATTTTTGGCAGGAGTAAAACGAAAAAAAATTGAAATTGAGATGTGAAAAGTGAGTTATCATGAAAAATATGAGAAATAATTCTATGAAATTAAATGATGCTTTTCGTCTACAAGAGGTATAATTAGATATAAATATTTATATATGTACATTAAATAAACTGGATGTTAGCTACAACACCATAATAAAAATTATTATTGGTTTAATTGAAAATGCTAAATCATGTGTAATTATTTAATTTTGAAAGAGTGTTTATATTATCCTTTTTCTCGGGTGAGTTTTAAATAATCCTAGTCAATATGTGTATCTGGTTTTGGAAGTCATTTATGTTAGGCGACCATAAGAAACTTAGAGGTATTTGATGACGGCCGTTTCGTGCTTGTATAGGACTAACTCATCAGAAGTACACATACACGACTATTGCCGCTCGCAAGATTCAAACACATAGTTCAAACTACTTATGCTCAATAGTGATTGTTACGTTCGTCACTAGGTACGCTTGAAGCTATGACCTTAGAAGATAAAACGCGAACGAGACAATGAACCAGCGTCCAGATAGGCTACCTTGATCTTCTGACTAATGAAAAGTCATGATGTACTGTAGAAACTATATTCTACAAACACCCAGCAAACACAATACAATCAAGCACACAACTCTCGTTTATTTATCCATCATAGAAACGTCCTAGGGACAGTTACGAAAATAGTACACTGAAATACACAGCAGCCAATCACAGCCATGGATTTTCCTGGTTGGAAATGAAATCTCAACATTAGCTGACCAGCCCATGCTTGAAAACGTGAAATCCAAAATAAGGCATTTATCAAGCGAGTTCTGGGGATCTAACATCTCCAATAGTGATCAGCTATGTGAGCAATTTTCTCCGAGTTCTAGTGAGAAATCGTGACCAGTGAAGTTCAGTGTTCATAGAAAACAGTGAATAAATTTGCTGAGGACCGTGAATTGATCAACGTTAAACATGAACACTTTCAGTTACCGACTCAGTGGTCTAGAAGTTTGGTATTCGCGCTCAATAGCGTGTATGTCATGGTTTTCGAATCCTGACAATTGCAGGAATCGTGGGTGTGCACTGTTGATGAGTCGGTCGCATACCAGGACGAAACGGCTGTTATCCAGTTCTTCCAGGCTTTTAATAGTGGTATTTATGTATTTAAATGTATTCACACCACGCATATACAATGCAATGCATTGCAATACAGTGCCAAACTAGTACTGATTATAAATTTTTGCAAACTTATCAACGATTTATTAGTTAAGAAAATCTACTCTCAAATAAATTTGAACAATGAAATACACATGTTCACTGTTACACAAATTCAAATCAGTATCATCATGATCCTTATTAAATTGTCATTTATCTATGTACTTGGTGAATTATGTCGTTCGTAATAGTAGTAGTAGTAGTAGTAGTAGTAGTAGTAGTAGTAGTAATCGTATTAGTAATATACTGTTACGTAATACAATGCACACTAATTACTCATTGATCAATATTGAAATATTGACAACTGATGGCTTAGTATGGCTTAGTATGCCAATAAAAAAAGATGAAATACTCATATTTTGTCATGTAAATCAGCATGTATTCTTGTAGAATAATTGATATAATGAAACATTTGTATAATTTCTGATTAGAATGTCATTTACAAGAACACAGAGAGAGAGAGAGACAGAAAGAATAGTTATATACATACATGTCGCCGAAATTGATTATTTTCAGGTGAAAGGTTTTTGTAAGTATAGAGATTAGTTAAGAAATTTTACGAAAAAAAAATAGAAACTATTTCAAGGTTGTCAATCATTTTGTTGTGTAATCAATAGTTTAGTTAATCAGATAGGTAGATTAGAACTATAGTAATAAAAAGGAAATTTCACTGGATAATGACTGTTTTATCCTCATGTAGGACTGACTCATTAGCAGTGAGCAACTCGAAGGATTTGGACTGAGTAATTTTGGTCTTGCGCGCGAACTCTTAAGTTTTGGACAAGTGAGCCGGCACCGAACTATGTGAATGCTTAACTCCGATCAATCCAGGTATTTAACACGATCCCGAAACATTTTTCTTCGTTAATTTCTCTGCTTACACTCGACAAGGTTAAACTAAACTAGTCACAGCTAGTCACTAGAACTCCCAAAAATTTCCTGACGAAGTTGATCAGCATTGAGTATACGATAATTTTCGTTGGATGACTGTACAGAATATTGAGTTAGATTGACATTATATGCTACATACTAAGATGATATGGCTGTCTGTATAGTGCTTTATGTTACGTGATTTTTCATGTACTTAAGGTGTGGTGCGCGCTACTTATAAGTAGTATATGACGCGAGTGTAAACGTAATGTCTGGCAGCAGAAGATGGAGGAAGATCAAGAAAGGAAGATTGGGAACACAATGGAATTTGTATGAAACGCATGAATAGTGAACTGTCAGACAATGGATTGATGATGGATTGAAGATTTGCAAATTAACCGTTTACGATATGGTTTTCCTATTTTACTGAGTAACTCTGTAATTTTCGTTAAATACAATTCGGTCGCCATCACCTGTGTTCTCCTTCACTACAAAGGGGAATAAAGGAGAACATTTAGATCTTAAATGCAGTTGATGTCAATGGTTCACCTGAGGAGTTAAAAAAATTAACTCAAATTTTTAACCAAACGGTATCGGATGTCTACAGAAGAAGAGGCCGCAAGTCCTCAAGCATGGGCGAAGGGGGGGATTAGATGCCTACTGCTTGGTAGTTCAAAACTAGTACAAAGTCACTTTTCAATAGTTCCTGGTTTTCAATCAATAGTAACCAGTAATCGACCAAAAACAAAAATAGTCAGCGAGAATTTGAACAAAACTGAAACTGTGAAATACAATACCCCATTTACCAACTTCAAATTAAACATATACAACAGAAAAAAAATTTAACAGTACATTGAACATTTTAATTCAACAATTTGGTTCAAGTTTTTTTTATTTTTTTCATCAAATAAATATATATTTAACATAAAAATCCAAAGTACACCGATTGATTATCTATCTACAAGTCGAACAAATTATACAATCATGTTTACAATATATTTATATATAGAATGCGATATACATTGTAGTGTACATTGTAGTATAGTGAAGTGTACAGATTTATAAATATGTGCTAGTGAATTTGATATAATCAGCGAAAAAAAATCATAGATCAAATCATATTTAGACTAATCATATTAGAAAGTTGAAAGCATTGAATGATAGTCATTATTGTTCTAAGTATGAAAACTGACTCATCAACAGTATGCCTTCAAAACTCCAGCTACTCGCAGGATTTGAAACCCAGGACTGTCGATTATGTAAGCGAACGCTTGAACTCTGGACCACTGAGCCAGTAACAAACAGCTTACGAGGTCGTGCGAGACCGCGGATTTATCAAAGTTAGACATTACCATTGCTGGACACCAACTCAGTAATCTGTCGTTTGCCGGCAAGACAAAAGACCATAGGTTTCAGTTCTGCGAGTACCAGGAGACGTCGAGGTTTATCGATGATGTGTCAGTCGTATACAAAGACGAAATGGCCATCATCCATTGCTTCCAAGTATCTAATGTGGTAGTCTAACATAGATCGATATATATTTCACGTGTTCTAAATCAATCATTAACAAAAGTAGGCTAAAAAAAACTACGAACCAGTTATTCAATCAGAACTAAATAAAATTCAACTAAAAAAAGACACACTGAAATGAAAAATCTATACTACAAAATAAAAATCTACTAAATAAAATTAATAATTAAATTTGAATAACCAAAATTGCAAAAAAGAATGTCCTGCTTTGTTAGTACAATAAAAGAAATAAGGTGCAGTCAATTTTAGAGAAATGAAAACAGATTAGCCGAAAAAAAATGAAATTAACAGAAAAATCTAATGTCCGAGACAAGATAAGACTTACTGAAATTGGAAGAAGAAACAGTGACAGAGGCAACGGTGGTAGAGAAACGGATGGTTGCTGAAGTATAATCAACGGCATTGAAAAAAACAGGCAGCGTTGCAGCCAATTCGAAGGATAAAGGAGGCAGGGATGCAGAAACACGACGGAAAATATCTGTAGAACTAGCAGTTGAAGACAATTTCGGTGAAGAGGTTGTAGATAAATTAGATAAGCTGCTAGCAGAATTCAGAGTGGATGAAGAAGAAGCGACAAAAATTGAAGGCGAAAGAGTAGTGACCGGTATGGATGTCTCGATGTGCGTGGTTGTCGATGCCGTCGTAGCGGTTGGTGTGGCCGGAGTTGTCAACAGGGTGGTGGTGTCTGTTTGTGAATGCTGGGTAGTGGGTGTGAGCGTTGTGGTGGTTGTGCTCTCCGGTGTTGTGACTGGGGCTGTGGTCGTCGACTGAGCTGTGTGCGCGTCGGTGGTTGTAGAGAATGGTGTTGTTGCAGTTGTGATTGTGCTTTGCTCAGTGGATGTTTGTGATTGTGGTGTGGCGATGGTGGTTGGTGTGGACGGTGTCGGTGTAGCTGTGGTCGGTGGTGGCGATGTTGTCACAATTGTGGTGGTCGAGGTTGTGGGTGTTTGAGTTGGCGTTGTTGATTCGGTTGTGGCGTGTGTGGTGGCTGGCGTTTCCGTGTGTGTGACAGTGCTAGTCTGCGTGGTTGCAACAGTGGTTGGCGTGTGAGTTTCGGACTGTGTTGTGGGTGTTGTCGGTGTTTGTGTTGTTTGTGGCGATGTGGTTTGTTCGAGTGTGGTGGTGTGCGCGTCGCTGGTTGTTGCTTGTGTTGTGATGAGTGTGGCCGTTGTGATTGGTGTGGTTGTGTCGATGTGCATGGTTGTCGATGCCGTCGTAGCGGTTGGTGTGGCCGGAGTTGTCAACAGGGTGGTGGTGTCTGTTTGTGAATGCTGGGTAGTGGGTGTGAGCGTTGTGGTGGTTGTGCTCTCCGGTGTTGTGACTGGGGCTGTGGTCGTCGACTGAGCTGTGTGCGCGTCGGTGGTTGTAGAGAATGGTGTTGTTGCAGTTGTGATTGTGCTTTGCTCAGTGGATGTTTGTGATTGTGGTGTGGCGATGGTGGTTGGTGTGGACGGTGTCGGTGTAGCTGTGGTCGGTGGTGGCGATGTTGTCACAATTGTGGTGGTCGAGGTTGTGGGTGTTTGAGTTGGCGTTGTTGATTCGGTTGTGGCGTGTGTGGTGGCTGGCGTTTCCGTGTGTGTGACAGTGCTAGTCTGCGTGGTTGCAACAGTGGTTGGCGTGTGAGTTTCGGACTGTGTTGTGGGTGTTGTCGGTGTTTGTGTTGTTTGTGGCGATGTGGTTTGTTCGAGTGTGGTGGTGTGCGCGTCGCTGGTTGTTGCTTGTGTTGTGATGAGTGTGGCCGTTGTGATTGGTGTGGTTGTGTCGATGTGCGTGGTTGTCGATGCCGTCGTAGCGGTTGGTGTGGCCGGAGTTGTCAACAGGGTGGTGGTGTCTGTTTGTGAATGCTGGGTAGTGGGTGTGAGCGTTGTGGTGGTTGTGCTCTCCGGTGTTGTGACTGGGGCTGTGGTCGTCGACTGAGCTGTGTGCGCGTCGGTGGTTGTAGAGAATGGTGTTGTTGCAGTTGTGATTGTGCTTTGCTCAGTGGATGTTTGTGATTGTGGTGTGGCGATGGTGGTTGGTGTGGACGGTGTCGGTGTAGCTGTGGTCGGTGGTGGCGATGTTGTCACAATTGTGGTGGTCGAGGTTGTGGGTGTTTGAGTTGGCGTTGTTGATTCGGTTGTGGCGTGTGTGGTGGCTGGCGTTTCCGTGTGTGTGACAGTGCTAGTCTGCGTGGTTGCAACAGTGGTTGGCGTGTGAGTTTCGGACTGTGTTGTGGGTGTTGTCGGTGTTTGTGTTGTTTGTGGCGATGTGGTTTGTTCGAGTGTGGTGGTGTGCGCGTCGCTGGTTGTTGCTTGTGTTGTGATGAGTGTGGCCGTTGTGATTGGTGTGGTTGTGTCGATGTGCATGGTTGTCGATGCCGTCGTAGCGGTTGGTGTGGCCGGAGTTGTCAACAGGGTGGTGGTGTCTGTTTGTGAATGCTGGGTAGTGGGTGTGAGCGTTGTGGTGGTTGTGCTCTCCGGTGTTGTGACTGGGGCTGTGGTCGTCGACTGAGCTGTGTGCGCGTCGGTGGTTGTAGAGAATGGTGTTGTTGCAGTTGTGATTGTGCTTTGCTCAGTGGATGTTTGTGATTGTGGTGTGGCGATGGTGGTTGGTGTGGACGGTGTCGGTGTAGCTGTGGTCGGTGGTGGCGATGTTGTCACAATTGTGGTGGTCGAGGTTGTGGGTGTTTGAGTTGGCGTTGTTGATTCGGTTGTGGCGTGTGTGGTGGCTGGCGTTTCCGTGTGTGTGACAGTGCTAGTCTGCGTGGTTGCAACAGTGGTTGGCGTGTGAGTTTCGGACTGTGTTGTGGGTGTTGTCGGTGTTTGTGTTGTTTGTGGCGATGTGGTTTGTTCGAGTGTGGTGGTGTGCGCGTCGCTGGTTGTTGCTTGTGTTGTGATGAGTGTGGCCGTTGTGATTGGTGTGGTTGTGTCGATGTGCATGGTTGTCGATGCCGTCGTAGCGGTTGGTGTGGCCGGAGTTGTCAACAGGGTGGTGGTGTCTGTTTGTGAATGCTGGGTAGTGGGTGTGAGCGTTGTGGTGGTTGTGCTCTCCGGTGTTGTGACTGGGGCTGTGGTCGTCGACTGAGCTGTGTGCGCGTCGGTGGTTGTAGAGAATGGTGTTGTTGCAGTTGTGATTGTGCTTTGCTCAGTGGATGTTTGTGATTGTGGTGTGGCGATGGTGGTTGGTGTGGACGGTGTCGGTGTAGCTGTGGTCGGTGGTGGCGATGTTGTCACAATTGTGGTGGTCGAGGTTGTGGGTGTTTGAGTTGGCGTTGTTGATTCGGTTGTGGCGTGTGTGGTGGCTGGCGTTTCCGTGTGTGTGACAGTGCTAGTCTGCGTGGTTGCAACAGTGGTTGGCGTGTGAGTTTCGGACTGTGTTGTGGGTGTTGTCGGTGTTTGTGTTGTTTGTGGCGATGTGGTTTGTTCGAGTGTGGTGGTGTGCGCGTCGCTGGTTGTTGCTTGTGTTGTGATGAGTGTGGCCGTTGTGATTGGTGTGGTTGTGTCGATGTGCATGGTTGTCGATGCCGTCGTAGCGGTTGGTGTGGCCGGAGTTGTCAACAGGGTGGTGGTGTCTGTTTGTGAATGCTGGGTAGTGGGTGTGAGCGTTGTGGTGGTTGTGCTCTCCGGTGTTGTGACTGGGGCTGTGGTCGTCGACTGAGCTGTGTGCGCGTCGGTGGTTGTAGAGAATGGTGTTGTTGCAGTTGTGATTGTGCTTTGCTCAGTGGATGTTTGTGATTGTGGTGTGGCGATGGTGGTTGGTGTGGACGGTGTCGGTGTAGCTGTGGTCGGTGGTGGCGATGTTGTCACAATTGTGGTGGTCGAGGTTGTGGGTGTTTGAGTTGGCGTTGTTGATTCGGTTGTGGCGTGTGTGGTGGCTGGCGTTTCCGTGTGTGTGACAGTGCTAGTCTGCGTGGTTGCAACAGTGGTTGGCGTGTGAGTTTCGGACTGTGTTGTGGGTGTTGTCGGTGTTTGTGTTGTTTGTGGCGATGTGGTTTGTTCGAGTGTGGTGGTGTGCGCGTCGCTGGTTGTTGCTTGTGTTGTGATGAGTGTGGCCGTTGTGATTGGTGTGGTTGTGTCGATGTGCGTGGTTGTCGATGCCGTCGTAGCGGTTGGTGTGGCCGGAGTTGTCAACAGGGTGGTGGTGTCTGTTTGTGAATGCTGGGTAGTGGGTGTGAGCGTTGTGGTGGTTGTGCTCTCCGGTGTTGTGACTGGGGCTGTGGTCGTCGACTGAGCTGTGTGCGCGTCGGTGGTTGTAGAGAATGGTGTTGTTGCAGTTGTGATTGTGCTTTGCTCAGTGGATGTTTGTGATTGTGGTGTGGCGATGGTGGTTGGTGTGGACGGTGTCGGTGTAGCTGTGGTCGGTGGTGGCGATGTTGTCACAATTGTGGTGGTCGAGGTTGTGGGTGTTTGAGTTGGCGTTGTTGATTCGGTTGTGGCGTGTGTGGTGGCTGGCGTTTCCGTGTGTGTGACAGTGCTAGTCTGCGTGGTTGCAACAGTGGTTGGCGTGTGAGTTTCGGACTGTGTTGTGGGTGTTGTCGGTGTTTGTGTTGTTTGTGGCGATGTGGTTTGTTCGAGTGTGGTGGTGTGCGCGTCGCTGGTTGTTGCTTGTGTTGTGATGAGTGTGGCCGTTGTGATTGGTGTGGTTGTGTCGATGTGCGTGGTTGTCGATGCCGTCGTATTATCTGATATTATGGTTTCAGAAATAAGTACATTTTGTTCCGTTTCCTCGCTTGTATTTTCTGTTATATTATTCGTTATATTTTCTGTCGTGTTTTCAACATTGGATACCTGACGCTTTTGTACGTTTTTGGTTTCTGAAAATAATTCATATGGGTTTTTTATTTAATTTATTTTTATGATTTCTTTTTATTTTGTATTCTGTTTTCTAATTTCATTCTTGTGTGAATAAAAATTTTTTTCCCGTACTATTATTTCTCTTTAGCTTTTAATTTTACGGCATGTATTTTGTAACTTATGCTCGTTTTAAGCAGTTCTTACGCAATGATTTTATTTTTTCCTAATGTTTTTCTTGAGTTTTACAATTTTTTTGTGCCTCTCTTGTTTATTGCACACACTGTTTCTCTGTGTGTTCATTTTATTTCATCGGTATTTTTCTAGTAGGCTATGTCTATCTACTCTTATTCGCCCTAATTTTCGAATACTATTTCAGCTACTTACTATATTAAAGTAGTTAATTCTGTCTCTATAATTTCGGGAATCACATTTACAGACAATTATTTAAAATCCCTTAACCATAGCTTATTCATTTCGAATTCATTTTATCTAACTAATTTTAAGTAATCTAACGCCTTATGATATGTTATGGATCAAAAACTACTCTTATCTTCATAGGTGAATAAAAAATCTTTCGGTTTTTACTCAGTTAATTTTACTATTTTCTTCTGCTAGTACATTTAAAGAAGAATTATTTTTAATCTGAATTCACGATTTATATATAAATCTAGCGAGAATACAATCTTTGAATAGAAATAATAACATGAATGCCATTATGATATGAAGAGAGAAAAAATTAAATTACTCGATAAGTGTTAGATCATCAAGAGAAACTCAGAAGTACTGGATAGCAGTTACGTCCACTACCGCCTACAATTAGAAATCAAACCTCATGATCTACGTTCACACATTCGAGAACTTAACCTCATCGACATTTGGTATGTTTCATACCAAGAAAAAGAAAACCACCGTCCAGTACTTCCAACTTTCTAATAGAGTTCTAACGTTGATTGACTGATTCATGATTTAAATCATATGGTTTCATCAAAATATACTTTAACCTTGTCTCTATTACAAAATGTTATAATAAATAAACGATGATTTAAATAAACATGTAAATTTGTAAAACTAAAATGAATTGTTATTAGATTTTCCAATTATTGAACTGTTCATTGTTAGACCATCATCTAGAACTTGGAAGGATTGGATGATCATGACGTTCTAGTGTTGCACTCGTCCGCAGTGCGCATCAACGTTCCTTCAAGCGTAACCTTCATTCTTTGAAGTGAACAAACCTAATTTGTTGATGTTTAACCCAAGCTCGATGATCAACATGTTAATTATTCGAATGTGAGATCGAAAATGCTGCGTGGTTTAATATACTCATTATTGATAAGTTTCATACTAAGATGTAATAGTCATCTGGAACTTCCAGCTTTCTGATGGTTGTCTAACATTGATAAATTTCTTTCTGGCTTAAACAATCGTAAATTCGTATTTAGAAAAAAGCAAACACGTACAATGATTATTTGTCTCAGATGATACATGATATGTTTTTTAAACAACTAACCGATATTTTTTTTAAAAAATGTGTACATAATTCAACAGTTTCCCTAATTTGCTTATTCCATGGTTAAAAACAGAAAACAACTTGTCGATTAAAATCAACATTGATGATAAGGATTTTTTTTCCAAAATTTCATTCAATAAAAACTGAATTTATTTTTGTTCAATTTTGTTCAATTGTCGTCATTGAACAATTGAACACTTGTTCTATCACAAAAATGCAACCATAAACTTAACCATAACTTAATTCACAAGCATTCAACTACAAATCGCAACCCATGAATTATCAAGGTCGAATTAAAAAAAAAACAATCCATGTTTCTTCATAGCTTCAATAGTTTCCAGTTTTAATTAATAACTGTTGTTTTAATTTAATTGAACAAATAACAAATGAATGTTTCAATTAATTTCAATTTCAAAATTGAATCACAAAAAAATAGAAAAAACTTACCTAAATCATTCACGGCACGTTTTTGCACTGGTTCATGAATATTGTTCTCGGCATAGATAACATTATAATGATTATGAATATTATTGAGATTCAATGACCAATCTTTAGTACGATTGATGAATAGATTTACTTTCGACCATCCCGATGATGCCGATGATGATGATGATGGTGAGGTGTATGAGTATGATTTGCCTTCTAATGAACCAATAGTGAAACAAGCAATGCATAAAATAATTGCTTGTATAATAATAATAATATTATGATGATGAAATAATATTGAACCATTGAATTTGTTTAAATTCATTATTGAATGGACTATTTTTTCCCCGCTTTTCTTAAATTTTTCAACGTTAGTGAAAATTTCGTCTCCCTTTTTTTATGGTTGTATGAATTTGTTTAAATATTTAATTGATGTTTTTCTGTTTGACTTTTGAGAAAAAAATTCTTTTTACCTAAAAAGGAGAAATATAAATAATAATGTGGATGAATTCATTTAAAATTAGTTAACAACACTAATAGAATTTGTGAGTCGATGTAGGCGAAGTGGGGGTAAAAACCTGAGATTATATGTCTGAATGTCAAATCCCTTCTGTTTATGATCACAAGTGATTACCTTAAGTTACTAAAGTTCTTCTAGTGTATTATGTAGACATACTGTTTGACTTTTCTCGAAGAAGAAACGATGTTGGAAAAGTGTTGAGGACGTTAGATCGTCAGAACTCACTTGATTAAGGTCCTAATTTAGGATTTTATGCTTTCACACATGGGATGATCAGTTGACCTTCAGATTACATCTCCCCCCCCCCCCCCGGAAAATTTTCGACTGTCATTGTTTGGTGTGTTATTTAATTATGCTATTTTTGTGGCTCTCACAAGGACGTTTATATCAATTTTGAATAATGAAATAAACTTTGTACCGTAATTATTTCCTCAAGATTGTACATATATCTTGCTGTTGTATAGGATATTTTACTCAAACTAAATCATTGAGGAATTTCTGTTGGCTAGACTTGTATATAGTGTACGCAGTAGTGAAAGATTGGCATCACCATATTGTAAGCTGTTCGATAGGATATGATCTCCACAAACAGACTTTGATTAGTACCCATTAGCCAGTGAATTGTACACCCATCCGTTATCCATACATATATTAGACGTGGCCAATGGCTTCCATTTGAAAACTGGCAGAATAATACCAGTGAGAAGACAAAATAGTCAGTCTTTGAAATTTCTAATTTTCCGATTGGTTATCGATTGCTTGAGGTTTTTTATAAGAACTATGTCTTATCGATTTAAGAAACTGTTTGTTGTGGCCAACCATATGATTCATGAAACGTGTTTAACAATTCTTACTTGGCAAACAAGTTAAGACCTAATTACATGTAACCGAACTCCGCCTGGAGCACTTCTTAAGTTATTGTCAGTCCCAAGTCAGGATAAAGGAGAATAGCTGAGCATGGTATTAGCGACTTAATCTCGTAGAAATTTAACTCGTTCAAAAAGTGATAACCAGAAAAGTGATTTGCTGGGGGATGGCCTATATATTCCATTATAGATAATATGCTTAAGTAAATGCACGTTACCACTCATTGAAGAATGCGTCGAGGCATTCGAAGTCAAAGATATCAGATTTAAGTGGTCCAGAGGTTAGTCGTTCGCGCACAATACTGAGGGTCCTGGGTTCGAATCCTGCGGCGTGCAGAAGTCATGGGTACGCACTACTGCTGAGTCCCATACCAGGACGTAACAGCCGTCAGGTACATCCAGGTTTCTAATGGTGGTCTAACATTGATCGATTCATGGTACAAAAAATGTGTAACCTGACATTTTTAACAACCCCGTATTGCGAATTAGGTTAAGCCCCTACACCCTGGAGAATGAGTTGAGGCATTCGAAGTTCATGATCGTTCGCTAGTTAATTGTTCTGAAAAGGAAACGAATATTTATCCTAAATCCTATAGTATTTTATAAATTTATCAGAGTTTATAATTAAAAGAAAAATTGATATTATCCTTGTAGCCAGTTCATTTAATATTAATGATTTATTGATTTTGACTCTGACTAATGACCAACCTAAGCGGCATATTCATTTAAAATAATCAAAATGAACTCAAAAATCAAATTATTCACAAATAAAAGGAATTAATATCCTGTTGGATTTTCTTTTTCGTAAAAAATAAAAATCAACAAACTAAAATTTTATCTGTTTTATTTAGTCTACTTACAATTAATAAGTAGTTTGTATAAAAATATTTGAAAGTTTTCAATATATATATGTAACTAAATTCCCAGAAATATGAAAAATTATCATACCCAATATTTTCCCTAGTTATAATATCATTATCAAATTTATCTACTTATACACTGATGAAGAGTAAAATAAGTGGTTTTGAAAACAGGAAAATTTTAAAATCTTAACTCATCTATTCATGAAATAATAGTAATCGATCACATGTTACAGTATAAAAAAGCACTTAAATAAACATCGTTAGTTGAAGACTGTTAAATTCTCACAGTTTAAATTGTACACACTAACTAAATCTTGAAATTGAACATTGATAAATGAGAATGAATATTTTTTACAATGAGATATTAGATAATTTATAGTGGTTGTGTTTCAATATATATACGAAATATGGCTCACCAAATGAATTGCTCAACATTGGTGGACTATGAATATATTGACGAATATTTATGTATACTATGAAATAAATCTTGTCTTCAATTGAAGTATATGATACTTAGGTGGATCAAGTTTAGTATGATGACGGGAATAAGTAGCTAAATAGAGTTTTGGCTGATAAATTTATTTCATGCCATCGTCAGGGTGAGCCATTTCAGAGCTATGAAGCACGACTAAGTATTTATATTTTGGGGCATAGTTTTGGAGGTTAGCGTTTTTACACATTTGAAATGAGTCCCATACCAGGACGAAACGGCCGTCCAGTGCTTCCAGGTTTCTAATGGTGGTCTAACACTGATTATCGCTTCATGGTTTCAAAAATGTGTAACTTAACAATCTTCACAACCCTGTAATGCAGATAAAAATAAGCTGGCAATGCGGTTATGGAAGTAAGCGGTGAGCACATATTCATACACACCCCAAGATAAAAGCGAATAATTGACAAGGTCGAAAGTCACGTGAATAAGGCCTGGAGAAGTAAATGATTAGGACAAGCCTTGTGGGCTCGATTTGATTATATGTACACACACTACAATAATTACTGTAATGTAATTTCACTACAATATGAATGGTCATGCAACCTGTCTTAGTTTTCAACGACGATGATTTTACCTAAGTTAGTTTATGAAGTACACATTACGAAAAATCTATATTTAAAAAATTAGACTCATTAAGACTATACAAGGAACATTAGTTTTGATTCAACAGTCAGTCGGTCAGTTAGTTAAAACGTGGAATTTCGTACATGAGTACGTAAGTTCCTGGTCGCCATACCGTATCAGGAAAGAGACGCAACCGTCAGTTCATATCCTATTGTGGTAGCGATAGTAGAAGTATAAGCAGTAATGGAGAAGATTAAGGTTCGAACATATTATTTAAATAGTATAGTTCATTGAGATAACTTTAGAAAGAGAAAGATAGAGATGATGAGCAGTTTAGAAGGTCAAAATTAGAGAAAACACAAAAAATGGATGCATTTGCGTCATTACAAACAATTTTGAGCTATGTTATTCAAGGTCACAAACCATCGGTTACTATCATCTTGCGGAACTCAACCAGGTAGTCTGCACTTATCAACATGACTGAATCTAGTTGTCAGTGACTTCTTGGATTTGTGTCATGTTTAGGTTTGGCCATCCCCTAGCTTTCTTTCAACCTACTCCTACACCACAAAACATAGCTCGTCGAGGCAGTCGGTGGTTGGGCATTCGTACCACATGTCCCAACCGCCTCAAGTAATGGAGTTTGACAATTGGGTATGTTTGATAATCAAAGATTTAAGAATAACTATACTTATTCTACGTCACTGATTAGTCAACTGAACCATGCTGACAGGTGTTGACTACTTGGTTGAGGTCCGCTGGACAATAATAACGAATGGTGAGAGACTTTGAATGATATGGCTCAAAATATTGGAGGAGCATCCTGTTGCGCTCGTCTCTAGGTAAGCTTAAACTATTACGAGTTCAGCTTAGTCGAATAAAGAGAACAAAACAATCAACCAGCGTCCAGAAAGGCTACTGTGTTCCCCTGACCAAACTGATTCAGCAAGAATTCTTAATATAGTGTAGAAGTTGTATTCTACAAACACCCAGACAGCACACAATACAATCAAGCACTCAAACTGCGTTTATTTATACTCTATAGAGACGTCCTTGGGACAGTAAAAAAAATAGCACACTAAAATGACACAGTAACCAATCACAGTCGAGAATTTTCCTGGTGAGAAATGTGATCTGAAGGTCAGCTGATCGGACCATGAAGTAAATCCAAAATAAAGATATTTATCAATCGAGTTCTGGGTATCTAACATCCCCAACACATCCACTCTTTGTGGTCTCTCAAATTCTAATCTTAAATTCCTCATGACTTTCATCTTTCTCTTCTCAAATTTAACTTTAGTGTATTATACTCCCTAAACAATATCTTCGATCCTTAATCTCTACGATTAATGCTCATACTTCTACTACCTTTACTAATATAGGATTCGAACTGACTATTACATCTCTATGTGCTAATGTACTATGGGAACTTGAACTGATGTATGTACGTACAAAGTTCTATGTTGTTGCTGACTAACTGAACCTCACAATTTGTCAACTTAGAAAGAAAACCAAATATATAGAGAGACATCACATTTAATCAATACTATCTCGAGATACTATACGAAATGATTCCCAAATACTCTAAGATGCATTTGACTGAGTGATAAAGAGAAAATTAGTTAGGGTCATGTTCCACGAATAAGATTTACAAGTGTCAATGCCAATTAACATTGAAATGAATGGTCGAACAACCATGTTAAATTCGTAAATTTTCTGATTCGAAATTTATAGTACAATTACCAAAACGACAAAATTATTCAGTCTAACACAAACATAAAACTGACTGGTTCTCTAGATGAATTTTTAAGAGATATGGTAAAAATCAATGAACTGTTAAATTTTTCATGTTGAGTGAAAAAAGAGGAGATTATGACCTCCGTTAAAAATGGTCTCAAATAACAAGACTATTGAAATGACATGCAATCCTAAGCAAAGTCCTTCTGTAGTGAAGGAGAACATAGGTGAGGGCAACCGAATTGTATTTATCGCTAATTACAGAGTTACTCAGTAAAATAG